TGACTGCAGGCTGGCTGCTTTGCGTCCTGAGGCACCTTGTCCTGCACCTAAAGTAGCCTCTCAACAGGCACCCACCACTTGCTCCAGGGGAGGGTGCTGGGGGAGGGCTGGGAAAAGTACTGGGAGGAGGTGCTTCATCTCTTCAGAGACATGGTGTTCAGCCTGTTCTGGGGGGGGGAGGGGCTACTCCTGGCAAGGAAGGAGTCGCTTTCATCATCTTGGGCTGGTGGCAGAAAAAACCTGGCCACAGTTATATATGAAGTGTCAAGGCCCACCTTTAAGGTAAAGGGTAAAGGGGACCCCTGACCATTAGGTCCAGTCGTGACCGACTCTGGGGTTGCAGCGCTCATCTCGCTTTACTGGCCAAGGGAGCTGTCATACAGCTTCTCGGGTCATGTGGCCAGCATGACTAAGCCGCTTCTGGCGAACCAGAGCAGCGCACGGAAACGGTGTTTACCTTCCCGCCGGAGCGGTCCCTATTTATATACCTGCACTTTGATGTGTTTTTGAACTGCTAGGTTGGCAGGAGCAGGGACCAAGCAACAGGAGCTCACGCCGTCACGGGGATTCGAACCGCCGACCTTCTGATCAGCAAGTCCTAGGCTCTGTGGTTTAACCCACAGCGCCACCCTTGTCCCTATCCCACCTTTAAAGCCCCATGCAATTTAGCAGCACCATGTCACCCACAGCACTCCAATCTGAGGTGAGGTGGGTGGCGACTACTGAGCCAGTTTGCAGTAGTGGCCCCATTCTTGTGGCATCCCCTCCCTGTATGGACTTGCCAACCTTATTGTCATTTCAGCACCAAAGACATTTTAATTCTCCCAGACCCTTGTTTGTGTGTGTAATTCGTTGTTTTGTATAGCCCATCAGATTTCTGAAAAATAGAAAAAACTGCCGCCCTTGCAGAGCTTGTGGTGTGCGGTCTGGGATTTTTGTTTCCCTACTGTGGACAGGCAGGCTTTGACCCTGTGCAGCCATTGCCCAGCTCTGTTTGATTCTGGAGAAGGGAGTAGCTTTGCATCCCGCAAAGTGAAGAGGCAGCAGGCTGAAGCCAGCAACAAGCCCACCCCTCAAACAAGATGGCTGCGTCTCCCTCCTTCCTTGGCTGCCTCTACTTGGGCACCTGCTGTCATCGCCCTTGCCATTATTATTTTTTTGCAAGACTCGCCTTTCCCTTCCTCCCACATTCCTGCCAGCAGCCATGTGATGAAGTTGCTGTCTGGCTTCCTCCAGGCCTTTGAGAAGGCCTCTCTGCAGGTGCGGCAAGCCCCTCTCTGCTCTTTCTGAGTCGTACAATCCATCCTGGTTCCCTTTGATGTTCAAACACTGCACAGTGCGAGGGAGAGGGCCGAGGGCTCAGCAGCCTCATCTCCCAGCGCTGGAATGACCAAATGGGAGGGGGCTCCTTTCAGAATCCTGTTAAAATAGTTCCCCTGAGGATTTTAATTCTGAACTGCAGGCGCAAACCACCCGCTGCACCCCTGGCTCTCCCGCCACAAGGTACGCCTCTCATCGTAATGACTTGCGAGGGTCTGTAACACCCCAGTCCCAAGGCAGGTGGTCCCCAAGTGCCCTGGCGCAAGGGCCTTTGTTTAAAGACTCTGGCCAAGGGAATGTGTGGATGGAGAAGCTCCTCCTCTCCTTTCTTGGAAGGAGTGGGGTGAACCCACACTATAATAATAATAATTATTTATTATTTATACCCCGCCCATCTGGCTGGGTTTCCCCAGCCACTCTGCAAAGGAGTTGGTGCAGCCGGTGGTTGCCTGTTCAGTTTCTAATAAGCAGGTGCCTTCTGGTTTAACTTTTAAATGTCTACTGAAAACTCCTATTCCCCCAGGGCTGTGCAGGCAATTAAGAATACATTTCCCTGCAATGGTTTATTGATGTCTGTTTATAACCTTTTTTTACATGTTTTTGCTGCATGGTTTTATACATTTTTGTTGCAAATTGCTTTGATTTTTTTAAAATTAAATAGTGTTCTATAAATATTTTTATAAACAAAAAGTGTTTTCCCACCCTGCAGAGAATAATTCCTGGGATCACAAACACCCACCTTCTAATTGAGAGCAACCTTTCATCCCTTCTGCAGGGGACCCCTTTGGAGACCCCACCTTAGGACAATTAGGGTGACCAGCAGACGCCTTTCTTTAGCACATCCCCAGAGCTTCCTGCGAGCAGAAAATGGGTCTTCTGCACTCAGGAAATACCAGGGCAAAGTAGGGGGTGCCTGTGGGAAGGAAATGCTGATCAGAGTGTTGGGTGCAACTGAGGCTGTCGCTTGCCGCCTTGAGCAGAGCAATTTAGTGTGCATTTGTGAGCACCTTTCCTAGGGTGGCTCCAGGAAAGCCCAGGGGGCTGTCCGTCCTCTGCAGAAAGATCTGGAACCCATGGGATGCAGAGTTTTGGCCGAGCTTGGACATGATGCTCACCAGGTGACCCTGAGCTGGCTCCCAAATCCCCATGTGAGCCATATATAAGGCATAGGGTGCCGTTTCTGCCACACACCCACACACCCGGTGCACCGCCTCCCGCCATCAGCAGAGCAAAGGGACAGTCTTCTGACTCCTCTAGCGGCCTCATAGTTTTTAGGAGAGCACGCAGAGGGGCGGTGATCTCCAGAAGGCCTGCAAAGAGTTAACAGCCCCTTTTTTGAGTGGGAGGAGGGAAACTCAAAGACTTTCCTTCGCACACTGTTTTATAGAGCAATTAAATGGCGGTGAAGAGTTTATATGGGCCGACTTCAAAGGTTTCATTTCAGGGGTTATGAAAAGATCTTAGGAGTGTTTTATTTATCCAATTTTGTACCAGAATGACATAAACTCTTACCCTCTGCCCACCTGCCTCTCTTAAAACTCCCCCTCCCCGCCCCCAGGGGAGGGCCAGAGTCCAGGCTCCCAGGCCTGCCTTTCCACATCCTCCCCCCAAGCAGTTTGTAAAGTGAGGAGGCAGGTGGGGTTCAACATCGGACCCAGGATCCGACCACCCCGATCCTGAGAGGCGGTGAGGACCTACCTTTGTATTTGCAAGCACAGTTTGTGGGGAGGGGGCTTTTTAGTGGCAAATGAACCTCGGTAGTCTCTGTCTTTGAGGAGAGAGCATACCATGGCTGCCGCTACATCACCGACAGCACCTAGCTGAGATTCCGTCATTGCAGGGAATTGGACTGGACCAGACAACCCTGAAGGTCCCTTCCAAACTCTACAATTCTATCCAAAGTCACAATAAATTTACGCTAGGTTTGGGAGTTTCTGAGCCCTCTTGTTCCTGAAGATCCTCAGGAGACGTCCTGCTTCCAGTTCTGCCTTGCTAATGCATGAAATAGGGAAGGGTGTGAAATGGGGTCTTCCCAGTTTGGGGTACTTCCCTAAGAAAACCTGCCAGAAATTAGAGGGTTTTCCGAAGACACTGCTAGGACATCCCTCCTGGGCCAGACCCAGGGTCCTCCTCTAGCTCAGCATCCGGGTTCCACCAGCCGCCACCCAGATGTGCCTGGGGAGCCCACAAGCAGAGGCATGAAACAGCCCCCTTCCCTTGATGTTCCCCCACCCCAGTTGCTGCCTTGTTACCCCTGAAGGGAGGGGCTCTTTTAGCTGTGGTGCTGAATAGCTGCCCACCGACCTGCCTCCCCCAAATTTGTTTCACTTGGTGGACCACCCACCCGTGTGCCTGTATGAAAAGCTTCCCCAAGGAGAGAGCGCTGGGTGTCTGCGCATTTCTGCTGCTTTTTATTGCTTGCCTGCATTCTGGGTCGTTAATTGCTTTTGCAAATTTTGTGATGCTTGTTATCACACGGCTAGCTGCTGCAAGCTGCTTTGATGTTAAAAGTGTGATGCAAATGAAGGGCAGTATAGGAATTTAATAAATAATAATAATAATAACAATTTTAAAAGTAAATGAAGCTTCCAGTATGTCTAGCCCAGGATTAAAATGGGCACATATATTTTTCAAATATAAATAGTGGAAGTATATAAAAATAAACACTATTTTCCATCTTTCTGCAGGTTTTGTTTCATTTTGAAAAATAAACTTTTAATTTACAGTCGTTTATTGTTTATATTTTGAATTGGATATTTATGGGGGCACCGTATTTTAAGTGCTGAGGGCCCTGTGAGATGTTCATTCACCCCTGCAGGCTTCCTCAGGCAGGCAAGAAAGCTGCTGCTCCCAAACAGATTGGAGCTGGGGGAGAACAGATTTCTCAGCGTTTCCTAGGAGTCGGCTTCTGTCAGCTTCTCGAAACGATTCGGTCACTGTGCTGCAGCCTTTTCTGCCTTCACCAGGCCATTTTCAGCTGCAGTCCTGAGCCCTCCCCTTTCAGTCCCCAGTCCTCTGATCCAGGAAATAATGTTTCCACAGTCCCTTTGGAGTATAACCTGGAGACTTTCATGGAGGAGGAAGAGTGGGCAGGAGGGCAGCACTAGCTCAGGTGGGGCAAGGGTCCTTTGTTGGGCCACTGGCTGGAGGAGCGAGGCCCTGTGCCATCCTGCCCACCCCACACATGAAGTGCCCAGCCTCTTCAAAAAGCATTGCAGAAGGCAGCTGCTTCCACATCCCACCTGGGCATTGGGCACCAGCATGAAGCAGGCCCCCCCCCTCAACTCTTTGCTTGAATTTTGTGGCAGGAAGACACTCTCTTTAGTGCAGAATTCAAACAAAAAGCCTGTGTTATTTAAATGCCCAAATTCAGAATGAAAAGGAGGAAGTAGAGACGGGGAGGCTGCTGCAGTCGTGACTCTCACAGACATGACCAGAGAGCTGTTGGCTACTTGTCCTCCCACGAGTTCCTGGCAGGGTTTCTGTACCTACTCTGCTCCTTTGAGGGAGTTCTGTGAGGGTTTCCACGTTTGCCATTCTGGGGCTGTGCTGCAGACAACCAGGCTGGGCAAACACGTGTTTTAGTTTAAACTTCTGCAAGGCACTTCTTCCTCTTCCTGCAGTGGCTGCTTGCGGGGTCTCTCTGCCCAGGCTAATTTGGCCGCCTTCTTCCTTTTCAGTGAGAACGAGGCGCTATGGCGGGAGGTGGCCAGTTTGCGGCAGAAGCACGCCCAGCAGCAGAAGGTGGTGAACAAGGTGAGCCCAGCCTTCACTTCTCAGCAAAGGGCCACACAGTCAGCTGGAGGCCTAGGGCTGCTGACCTGCAGGGGGCTTGGTCAGTGGACCCCCCAGAGCCTTGAGGGTGAAGGGCCATTGTCTCTTAAGGACAGGAAACAAGACCTCTTGCAGCCAGCTTCCCACTGCCTTGGCATGATTCTAGATTGGAAGTTTTATATCACGGTCTTTCCGATCCAATTTTTCTCTCTGTGTAGTTGGCCCATCAGATCCCCACATTCTGTTGTTGTTGTTTTTTAGTCATGGATTTTTTTTGCTGTTCCACCACCTGCCACACACACCAGTCAGGAGAGCCTCGCAGAATGTAGGGGGATTTCCCCCTTCCACCTGTTTTGGGCACATGCACAGATATTTTTTTCCCCGGAGTCTGCACCGTTCTCAAACCAACAACAACCATTTCCCCTGTGTGCATGAGCAGTGCCAATTCCACATCTGGAAGCACTCATGGACGATGAGACTACGGAGCATGTACAGAGTGGCTTCTTTTTGCTCCTGGGAGAACCCCACATACCTGTCACTGGGAGTGAGGTCTTGAGTCCAGCCTGCTGGGTTTTACATGCTGGTGGTCAGCTGTGCGTGTGCTGGGGGAGATCTGAGCAGGGTGGTCCTTTCCAGAGTGCCTTTGGATCTCAGTCCAGCAGGATTCCCCCTCCTCCAGCTAGAAGTGTGCATCACACTTGGTGACATTTCGTTTTCTCTCCCACAGCTCATACAGTTCTTGATCTCGCTGGTGCAGTCCAACCGTATCCTTGGAGTGAAGAGGAAGATGTAAGTGGGCCTCATGCAGAGGCCATGCTTTGATTCTCCTCTTGGCTGAGAGGATCTCCCAGACCATCTCTCACGGACCATCCGTGGTGTTTAAGTGCAAGCCCAGCCTCTCATTGAGACATTTGCACCTGGAAAACTCCAGACTTGCCTCTGAGAAGCACCTCTGGGAGGAATTCCCATCTGCGCCTGCCTCTTCCTGCCTGTGCTCTTGCTGTGCCCTTTCTGCAGGAATACTTTGGGTGTGGTCATCTGCCCATTCCCCCCTAAACTCTCCTCCTCCCCACTCCTGATCCATTGATTATGTTTCTGCTGTGCTTTATGAGCTGTGATTCCTGTATGACGGGGTTGGACTAGATGACCCTTGGTGTCCCTTACAATTCTATACAGTGGTACCTCAGGTTACAGATTTTCCAGGTTACAGACGCTTCAGGTTACAGACTCTGCTAACCCAGAAATAGTACCTCGGGTTAAGAACTTTGCTTCAGGATGAGAACAGAAATCGTGCTCCACTGGCAGCAGGAGGCCCCATTAGCTAAAGTGGTGCTTCAGGTTAAGAACAGTTTCAGGTTAAGAACGGACCTCCGGAACAAATTAAGTACGTAACCCGAGGTACCACTGTAATTCTGTGATTCTTAATTTTCTTCCTCTGCATAAGGCTGAGAAGCACCTCCATGCTGCTTGTGAGGTGGGGGGGGGTGTCTTTAAAACCAAACACACAGGAAGGGATATGGCGATATGATTTTGCAAGAGGGCAGCTCTCTTTGCTCCAGGAGGAAAGCAGGAGATGCCTTAAGGCTACAGATGGGCTCAGATGCTCCTTTGCAAGAAGGCAGTCCTGGAGTGGAGCACACGCAAGTGGCTTCGGTGGGCTAGTCCCACACTCCTGGGTCCAACGAAATGGGAGGAACCCCCAAGGCCAGCTCAGTCCCCTGTGGGCTGCACACCTGCTCTGGTCCCTGTCAGCCAGAGTAGCAACACAACCTGCAAACCCAAACCTGTTTCAGGGCTCCTGCTTCCAGAAAGCATCCTGAGCTGACCCTAGAGCAGGCATAGGCAAACTTGCCCCTCCAGATGTTTTGGGACTGCAACTCCCATCATCCCTAGCTAACAGGACCAGTGGTCAGGGATGATGGGAATTGTAGTCTCAAAACATCTGGAGGGCCGAGTTTGCCTATGCCTGGCCTAGAGGGTGGGCTGCCTGAAACTGCCTGTCAGGAGCGATCTCTTCAGAAGTCCTGTAAGCAGGATGGTGCCCTCTGCAGTCTGGTAGCCCCTTTGGTGCTTGCCTGCCTCCTCTGCTCTCTGTGCCTCACGGCTCCCTCTGGCTTTCCCTTCCAGCCCCTTGATGTTGAACGACAGCAGTTCGGCCCACGCCATGCCCAAGTACAGTCGCCAGTACTCTTTGGAGCACGTCCACAGCCAGCCTCCCTACTCCGTAAGTATTTGGCTGGGGCAGAGGGAAGCTGGGCTCGGGGGCAGCCCCAAGGAGGCAACCACCTTTTGGACCCTCCAGGCTCCTAGGGCCTCATGCCAGTATCTGTCCTCCTCACAGGCCTCCCCCCCGGCATACAGTGGTGCGAACCTGTACTCCCCGGACCCCTCCGCCAACTCCGGCCCCATCATCTCTGACGTCACAGAACTGGCCCAGTCCAGCCCCTCTGCCTCTCCCAGCAACAGCCTTGATGGAAGGTACGCAGCAGCCCGTCTTTGCTTGGTTCCCTGTGTGGGTGCCCAGATGGGCCTGGAGGGCACAGGCACTTCTGGTTGCAGGGAGAGGGGACGTCCAAGGCACATAGGTGGGGAAGCTGCCTGGGGTGTGGGGGGGGGTGGAACAGAACTGCCGACTGCACAGGCCCCAAGGCTCTCTTGCGCCTTGGGCAGATGTGGCCGGCAACTTTCCCCTCTGTGTCCAGGATGGCTGAAAAGTGGGTGGCTAAAAATTCATTTGAGTCAGTCAAGATTTTCAGCAAATTTCTAAATCAAAGTGATGGGGTGTGGCATGGAAGTCACTGTTGTACTGTTTTATTGTTGTTAGCCGCCCTGAGCCCGGCTTCGGGGAGGGCGGGATATAAATAAAAGTTGTTATTGTTGTTATTATTATTATTATTATTATTATTATTATTAAGGGCCAATCAAGTTTCTGAGGCGGTAATCTCAGGGTGGTTCTTCCCGCAGAAGAGCTGCTCAGGCCAGGCCTTACAGGGTGCTAATTGACACACCCTTTGCTGGGGTTGGGTATTCTGGGTCACTGTGTGCTTCTGTGGAAGCCTGAATTCTGCCACCCAAAGAGGGAGGGAGAGAGAAGCACCTCCTGCTTTTCGTTCACAAGAGGTTTTGCCCAGGAGTCCCCCTTCTTCCCAGGTGTGGTTCATTTCCCCTCTGCTCCCTTTGACTCCCCCAAGGCTGGTGGACTGAGTTGAGCCCCAGGATGCCTGGCTGGGTAAAGGGACCCAAAGAGTGTGAGCAGCATTTTCTGTTTTTTTTTTATAATAATTTTTATTCATTTTTCAAACACATAATAAAAAACAAACACAACACAAAACAGAAACATACAAAACCTTTAAACATGTATAATTTCATACTCTTAATTTCATGCACCTTCTTTCACCCGACTTCCCCATACCTCCCTTTCGCTGCATCCTTATTTTACAATTTTTTAGCAACCCTTTGGTCAATTTATCTGTTTAATTCCCTTTCATTGAGTTTTCTTTAATTTGTTAGTTACAGCTGTAATTCTCTGCTTCTTACCCCTTGACATCTTAACACTCCTCAATTTTACAACAGTTTTTAAGATACATTTTAAATTTCTTCCAATCCTCTTCCACTGTCTCTTTCCCCTGGTCGCGGATTCTGCCAGTCATCTCCGCCAGTCCCATAAAGTCAGTCACCTTTGTCTGCCATTCTTCCAGAGTAGGTAGTTCTTGCGTCTTCCAATGCTTTGCCAGAAGAATTCTTGCTGCTGTGGTAGCGTACATAAAAAAGGTCCTGTCCTTCTTTGGCACCAATTGGCCAACCATGCCCAGGAGAAAAGCCTCAGGTTTCTTAGGAAAGGTCCACTTAAGGACTTTCTTAATTTCATTATAGATCATTTCCCAAAAGGCTTTAATCTTCGGGCAGGTCCACCAAAGGTGGTAGAAAGTACCTTCAGCCTCATTACATTTCCAACATTTATTATTGGGCAAATGATAAATTTTTGCAAGCTTGACTGGGGTCATGTACCACCTGTAAATCATTTTCATAATATTTTCTCTTAAGGCATTACATGCCGTGAACTTAACACCGGTGGTCCATAACTGTTCCCAGTCAGCAAACATAATATCATGACCGATGTCTTGTGCCCATTTGATCATGGCTGATTTCACCGTTTCATCCTGTGTATTCCATTTCAACAGCAAATTATACATTCTTGACAAGTTCTTAGTATTGGGTTCTAACAGTTCTGTTTCTAGTTTTGACCTCTCCGTCTGGAAGCCTATTTTCCTGTCCTGTTTAAATACCTCATTTATCTGAAGGTAATGAAGCCAATCTCGTAGTTTAGGCTTTAATTTCTCATAGCTCTGTAGTTTAATTTTTCACCATCTTGCTCTAAAATTTCCCAATATTTTGGCCATTTAGACCCCATATTGAGTTTTTTCACCTCCTTAGCTTCCATTGGTGACAACCACCTGGGAGTTTTACGTTCCAACAAATCTTTATATCGGATCCAAACATTGTATAATGCTTTTCTAACAATATGGTTTTTAAACCCTTTATGCACCTTTACCTTGTCATACCATAAGTATGCATGCCAACCAAAGCTATTATCATACCCTTCCAGATCCAAAATGTCTGTGTTCTCAAGAAGTAGCCAGTGTTTTAACCAGCAGAAAGCTGCCGATTCATAGTAGAGTCTTAAGTCCGGCAGGGCAAACCCCCCTCTATCTTTTGCATCAGTTAAAATCTTAAATTTTATTCTGGGCTTTTTGCCCTGCCAGACAAATTTTGATATGTCTTTCTGCCACCTCTTGAAACAATCCATCTTGTCCAAAATCTGCAAAGTCTGAAATAAAAATAACATTCTAGGCAATACATTCATCTTAATAGTGGCAATTCGGCCTAACAAGGAAAGTCTCAACCTTGACCATATTTCTAGATCTTTCTTTACTTCTGACCAACATTTTTCATAATTGTCTTTAAACAAGTTCACATTCTTAGATGTTAAGTTTACCCCCAGGTATTTCACTTTTTTCGTTATTTCCAAACCTGTTTCAGTCTGGAATCTCTCTCTTTCCTCCCTTGTTAAATTTTTTTCCAACACTTTCGTTTTCTGTTTGTTCAATTTAAATCCTGCTACTTGACCAAATATCTCAATTAGTTCTAGTACTCTCTTAGTACTAGTTGCGAGCAGCATTTTCTGTTGGTGCTTGGAATGCCAGCCTGAGATTCGCGGCAGATGCAGGAGCTTTCTTGCCGTGTAGCTTTGCGTCTGGGCAGAGCTGCCTTGGCCTCATGGAGGGCACTCCCTTCGGAGGATCTGCACTGAGGCCACTGCTGCCCCACTGCAGCCACATGTTCCCCATCCCTGCAGGCAGAGCCTGAGCTCCTGGAGGGCCACCAAGGGCATTTTTCTCAGAGCCCTGTGCCCAGAAGCCCTTTGTCTTGTGCTGCAAAGCCTTCTCTGTGTACAGGAACCCGTATATCCTGGCCCTGGAGGTGGAGGGGACCTTCTTGGTTCTCTGCCCCAGACAGTTCCCAAGGCGAGCGGAGCTGTGAGCCGGACGCTGCTGGCACTGGGGCAGAATCACTCGCCACAGCGGCAGCCCCCGTCTCTTGCCCTGAGTGTGCCTCTCCGCCAGGAACCTTTGCTTCGAAATGGGAACCAGATGCTTGCCTAAGTGGGTCATCACAGCTTTGTTCTTTTATACCTGGCGACAATTCCAGTGGGGCTAATTGAACCTCCCACATAAAGCCGTTTCGGGGAGTTTGGGTACTGAAGGGAATTTCCATCTGCCAGAGAAACTATGTTCACCCCCCCCCTTCCCATCCTCGCCTCTCTTTTAAAAATCCCCACTGCTGAGAAGCCACGGGTGGAGGAGGGGGTGGCAGAGCTTAGACTGATTCATTTCCCAAACCTCGGAAGAGAGGAAACGTGCGGCAGGGCGAGCAGATCCAAAGGGCGGAAGCTTCCTGGGGTTGTCTGAGAGTCCCGCGTTTCCCAGAGTGAGCCGTGGTGTCCCCTGGCAAGGGGGCTCTGGGGGTGTAAATGTCTTTGGAAGGCTGGTAGCACAGGATCAAGCTCTTCAGTTTGGTTGAATTAATGAATTAAGTTTATTGTATTATTAATCTTCCTTAATGGAGTGTACAAACTGCTATTCTGAATAATTTTTACAGGGTAGGGCAGGGGGTACTGGGGATGAGTTAATGGAACCAAGGGGGTGGGGGCCAGAAAAAGTTTGGCACCCACTGTTGTAGAGAGCAAATGGTGGCAGCTGCTGACCATGTAGGAATACCACTGTCTGCCCAGGGCTCATGTCTTACTTTCTTTCCATCCTTCTGTCTTAGGAGTAGTCCCGTGATCCACATCAAAGAGGAGCCCCCCAGCCCCTCTCGCAGCCCTCTGATTGAAGAAACCAGCCCCATCGGCACTCCTGCCATCGAGAGCCCCCTCTCTCCCTCCGCCTTCATCGACTCCATCTTGCAGGATGAGAAGCCCAGGGGCGTCATGGCCGCAGCCCCTCTTGCCGACAGTGGCGGCAGCAGCACAGCCGCTGAACAGGCCCAGTCCCCCGAAAAGTGCCTCAGCGTCGCCTGCCTGGACAAGTAAGTGGGTGTGTGTGTGCAGGGAGCACCTGGCTGCCGCCCGAGGGTTACGGGCTGGGTAACCCAGAGGGTCCCTAACCCTGTCCTGCTGTCACCATCGCCATCCTTATCCCTCCCCCCCTTCTCTTTGCCAACCTGCTTCTTTGTCGGGGGGGAGGGGGTGGTTTTATTGACAGCATTTATATCCCACCTTTCCCCCCAAGGAGTTCAAGGTGGTGCACTAGGTTCTCCTCCTCATTTTATCCCCACAACCCTGCAAGGGAGGCTGGGCTGAGAGGAGGCAGTGACTGGCCTCAGCTTCATGACCAAGTGGCGATGTGAACCTGGTCTCCGAAGTCCTGGTCCAGCGCTGCCTCTCGCCAGTGTGGCTGTAGCCCCTTCTTCAGGCACAGTGCAGCCTGGATTGCCAATTGCTGCAGCCCTGAGCTGAGCCACTTTGTCCCAGGCTCGAATCCTGTTTGCCTGCCTCCCTCTGGGGCACCTGGTTGGCCACTGTGGGGCAAGATGGGTCACTGGGCTGATTTAGCAGCCAGGCTCTTCTCATGCTCTCGCATCAGTCCTGACAGAGGCAGTGAGTCTGCAGCTGGACTGAAGCCATTCGCTCTGAAGCTGGGGGCTCCTCTGTGGAAGAAAGCTAAATGCCAGGGAGAAGATCACTAGGCTAGTCTGCCCCCCGGCCTGCAAGTCTTCTAGGCGTGAGGGTGGATGAGGTTCTTCCATAGAGTCACAGAACTATAGAGTTAGAAAGGACACGCAAGGCTCATTTGGTTCAACCACTGGCAATGCAAGAGTCCTTCCCCCCACTTGTCCCTGGGTGGGCTCGAACCACCAACCTTCAGGCGCACTGTTTCATTTTGGCCTCTTAAGCCCTCCACTGCAGCCGAGGCTCAGGGGGAGCCGGGCTTCTGCATGTCTCCTTTTGTCCCGAGAAGAGGAAAGGCCAGGATTCCCCTCCAGCCCAGGGATCCTGAAATCTGTTTGCAGTGCCAGGAGAGCCAGCTGTGGATGTCTTGACCCTCCAGGTCTTGGAGCAGACTACCTTAAGGCTGGTTTTAAACTTCTAGCCAGCCCATCCCAATAGCCTAGCCAGGAGCCAGCGGGTGGTCAGTGAGGGAAGCCCAGGAGAGCAAGAGGCAGCAGCCCCTTCTCTTCGTCTCTCTCTCTCTGTCCAGCCTGGCTGTGGATTCCTGGCCTCCCTCATCGCCTGCTAGAGGGGTGGGGCTGTCAGTGGTGTGGAAGGAAGGCTCCAAAACTCAGGAGGAGGTTCCCTGGGCCAGATAAGAGGGTGGCCCTGCAGCACTGACAGAGGCACAGGGGTCCTAGCAGAGGATGCCCAGTTCTCAGTGGCATATTTGGAGACAGGTGTGGGCTGTGTCTCCTCCTCTGCAAGGGTTGGGTGTGGGCCTTGCCAGCCTACTGGACATGGGGGCTTCATAGTGCTGGGTGCTCATGCCTCTGTGCCCCTCCCACAGTTGCAACTGGATTTCAGCTCCGGACAGAGCATCCTGCCTTCATAGGCCCATGGCCCTCCTTGCTCTGGACTCTGGCCATTCTTCAGTGCCCTGCGTGTGAGGAAGCAGGAACTGCCAGGGGCTGCATGGCAGAGATCAGGGGGTGCGGGTCAGCAGCCCATGCCGCAGGACAAGCATGTCCACACTCAGATTGCACACTTTCAGTGGAGGCCTGCCAAGGAACCTGGAGATCTGGAACTGAAGGAGAGGTGATCTGTCGGGGGGTGGGGAGGCACCTGCTTTTGCTCCCCAGGAACAAGGAGAAGATGGTGGATCACAGAAGTGCTGAGAGGGCTGCTGCTTGCCTGTTGCTGGAAACCGCAGGAGGGGAGAGGGCGTCTCTTGCACCCGGGTCCTGCTTGTGGGCTTCCCATGGGTACACCTGGTTGGCCACTGTGGGAATAGGATGCTGGACCAGATGGGCTATTGGGCTGATCCAGCGGAGTTCCTCTTAGGTTCTTACCACCAGGGGGCAGAGAACATGCACTTCCTGTCTTGGGAAAGTCGGCTGTTGGATGCAAAACAAGCAGGTTGAGGCTAGTGAGTTTCAAGTACCCGGTTCTGCTGGTGGGATTTGGAGGTTTTGGCCCTCAGTCCCCCAGAGAAGCGCAGTTTGGATCAGGCACCTGCCCAAAGGAACAGGACTCTGTTGCCCCAGGAATACGCTTGCTGGTTCCTACCTTCCCTTCTCTCCCTGCCTGCCCCCATGTGGGATCCCTCCGGTCAACTGCTCTTTGCTCTCTTCCCACCCAGGGCCTCCCTCTTGCTCTTCCTGGGGGGGGGGGGGTCGGCTGCCTGCCCTTCCTTGCCTTTTGAAAGTAACCTCCGTTTCCTCCCTGAAGGTGCCGGACTCTCTGGGGCTCCTGAATCCGAGTGTTCCTCTTCTCTTTGTATCTTTCAGTTTGGCTCGCCCTCCGCAGATGTCCGAAGTCACCTGCCTTTTCCCCAGCCCTTCCTCTGCCTCACTGCACTACAGACCACAGCAAGGGTTAGCATTTACATTGCTTGCTGCCCCCCAGGCACGAGTGCTAGGGGGAAGTGTCCCTTCTGCCAGGCCACCCGGCCCTCCTTCCACATTGTGCTGGGAGGGTCATTTACTTTGGGGATCGGATGCCACACTCAGTTCAAACTGGAGTTGAACCCACAACGTTGAAAACCACATTTTGAAACGCCTGTCCCTTGTGGCTCGGGGGGCGGGGGATGGGGAAAGGTAAACCCTGAAGCACCTTTGTATGCTGAAGTAATCCCTCCCAATATGGGGCACCCCATTGAGGGACACCGTATCTCCATGGTGGAGCACCAGAAGATCCCAGGTCCAATCCCTGCTGCAGGGCCGGCCCACCCATGAGGCAAGGCAAGGCGACTGTCTCAGGCGGCAGGGTCCACAGATCCTGCCCCTAAGAACTGCAGCTCCTTCTTGTTCTGTTGAGTGTCCGTCTTCTGTGAACAGCGGCAGTGCTGTGGCGTCCAGCCTGCTTCCTCTGCGTCTCCCTGCTTCTCCCGGCTGCAGCAGAGTGTCTTGCGCAGCGCTGGGCCAGTGCGGAAGGAATCTCAGGCATGCAGAAAAACTCTCGTACAACTGCTGCTTCTATTTCTACGAAGTGTTTATTGTATGTACAGCAGCAAAACAACAACAGCCAGGAGAAAGCGAAGACAGGCTTCTCCTGTTGCAGCCAAAACAGAAAGTGAAGACGTTTTCACTTCCCTAGAGCTGTTAACCCTGTAAGCTCTGGGTATCCTCACACCGTTAGTGCTGCAATGGCAGCAACAGCCGCAGCGCTCTGCTCGAAGGCCAGGTCTGCTCGACAGGCAGCAGGTTTCCTGGCTTTTAAAACACGTACAGAACTGGCCTCCTGCCTGAGCTGTCAAGTCTGCTTCAGGCAATTTGCCTTCGGACTGAGCGGCCACAACTCCTGGTGGAGAGTTTGCCCCAAATGCACATCCCTGGTTCCCCCTTTGTCTTTGAATGGCTCCGCCCTTCCCAGTCCCCATCTTCAGTCCACGTCTATAATCTGATTGGGCAACTCTGGGGCGGCCCCCGCCTTCCGCTCCATAGCAGGGGCTTGGGCCCAGCCCTTGCGCCCCCATTGGCTCTTCACCAGCCCCAGGTTTAGGCTGCTTCTGCTGCTTGGGGAGGGCGCTGGCCCTGGAGAGCCCCGAGTCTAAGCAGTGAGGCTTTTCCTGCTGATCTGTAAACTGAACCAAGGCAGGCTTGCAGAAACCGGAAGGGTTACACATGTCAGTGTTTGTTTTTTTTAAAAAAGGAAAGGGTTCTGACCTCCGTTTGTCTCCTCAGCCTGATCCTCAGACCCTTGTCAGCATAAAAGAGTCCACAAGAATATCCTTGCAGAGTGCTTTCTGCTTTTATTCTTAAAAGTCTTTGTGCAAAAGCGACTGACCAACTCCACTACCAGCTTTCACTAACCAGCCAACCCAACAACAAACTAACATTTCTCACTCTCTATGTACAACCCAGTGCATGCCGCTGACTCATGCTGACCCAGCTTTTTTAAGCATTCAAGAAACAGCGGCCATTTTAGCCGTGACAACACACTGGTAGCTGTAGCCACTGGGTCTGTTCGGGGGGGGGGTGATGGCAGGCCTGTGCAACGGCTATTCCAGAGCAGGCAGGAAGGGATGTCTTGCTCCTCTTAAGGTTTTGGGCAAGGAGGCTTCTGAGAGGCAGCCGGGCTCAAAGCCATTTCCTCCTCGACCAAAGAGCAAGCTGGAGCCCTTGGTGGGTGATGGGAGCACAGGGGGGCCAGGAAGATGGGGTGGAGAAGCACTTGGCCCAGGAGGACCCCTAGGAACCACGAGGAGAGCCCTGCTGGATGAAACCCAAAGAAGCCCTCCTCACCTTGTGGCCAACCAGGTGCCTCTTGTGGGGAGTTGAACTCTGTGGCAGCCCTCTCCTCCTTCCTGCTGTTCCCCAGCCGCTGGCAGTTCAGGGACAGGGGCCTCTGGTCCTGGAGGAAGCAGGCAGCCATCCTGGCCCTCACTGCCACCTCTCTCTTCTCTCGTGGCCCCAGGAACGAGCTGAACGAGCACTTGGACACCATCGACTCCAGCTTGGATAACCTTCAGACCATGCTGAGCACCCACGGCTTCAGCGTGGACACCAGCGCCTTGCTGGACGTGAGTCCTTATGCCTAGCGGGAGGGGCAGCTTGCGGGGGGGGGGGTTGTGCCTCATTCTGCTAACATTAATGTCTGCTTTCCCCCCTCCCTCCCTCTCTCTCTCTCGCCAACAGCTCTTCAGTCCTTCAGCGACAGATCTGAACTTGCCAGATCTGGACAGCAGCTTGGCCAGTGTGAGTGTGCTGAGGGAGCTATCCATCAAGGACCTCCCCTTTCCTCATTTGTAGGCCAGCCCCACATGGCGGGTCTGAAAGTGCTCTCCAGCCGCCCTGTGCAGAGGCTGCCTCCTCGGAGAACCCTGCCGGGTGATGTCATCCCATCAGCACCTCTTCTCAGGCACTGCTAATGAGGTGCTGAGTGGGCCTTTCTCAGCGCAGCCTTCTGATCAGCCCCGCCATCAGCTGAGCAGACTCCCCAGAGCAGACTCCCCAGAGCTGCTCGCTGGATGTGATGATGGGAAGATGATGCTGAGGCTGAGGCTGCCTAACTCCCAACACATCCCTCTAAAGCCCTTCCCCCGTTTATTCACCGCCACCCACCAAGGCACAGCCTGGAGGCTGCAGAAGACTGGTCCAGATCTGATCCTGGAGGGTGCAGTTCCCCACGAGGCTCTCCTGCACCAGCCCCATTGAAGTGAACGGGAGCTCTTGTTTATTTCAGTGGGGCCTGTGCAGGAGAACGTCCTGCCGGATTGTGCCCTGGAGTCAGGGAGGTGGTAGACCCACGTAGTGCCAGCCAGCTAGGGGCTCTCCTGTGCATGGGCGGGGGGGGGTACGTCTGGGGCTTGACTCCCGTGAGACACGCCCAGCAAAGCCCACTCCCTGCTCTCTGGGCCTCAGCAGCGCCTCCTTTCCCTTTGCAGATCCAAGACCTCCTTTCCTGCCAGGAGCAGCAGAAGCCGGCGGAGGTGGAAGACTCTGCAGCAGACACAGGTGGGCATCACGGCTGCTCCTCTCCTCTCCCTGCCCCCACCCGCCTGCCAATTCCACCCACTGCTTCTCTGCATCGACCTTTTCCCCACAGCCAGGCAGGAGCATGGGCATCCTCACAGCTGAACGAGCCACCCTAGCCCACACAGGGGGAAACTGAGGCATGTGGGGGGTGGATGGGGGTGTTTCTGTTGCCTGTTCGACCCGCCTCCTCTCCCTCCAAGTCACGCTGCCTCAGTGGGGGTCTGCCTTGCTCTGGGGGCAGTCATGGGGTTTCCAACCGAGAAAGGGTCCTCCTTCCCACGGCCTCAGAATCCTAGAATTGTATGGTTGGGAGGACCCCAAGGGTCATCTAGCCCGCCCCCTGCAATGCAGTCCTCCCACCTGGCCCTGCAGCCTTGCCCCCCCACCCCCTTTCTGATGGTGTCTCTGCCCTTCCCGTAGGCAAGCAGCTGGTCCACTACACAGCGCAGCCCCTCTTCCTGGTTGACTCAAGCTCCATGGACATGGCCAACACGGAAATGCCCATCTTCTTTGAGCTGGACGAAGGACCCTGCTTCACGGAGGACGAGTACTTGGAGGACCCCACCATCGCCCTCCTCTCGGGGGCGGAGACGCCCAAGCCCAAGGACCCCTCCGTCTCCTAAGGCCAGGCCCTGGGCCAGTGTGGAAGAAGGCCGGACTCAAGGAAGGGCCAGCCGCCCCCTTGCTTTGCTCCAGTGACGTTGCGGACGAGCCCCCTGCTCTCCCCTCTGGCCAGGCTGCGAGGGTGTGTTTGTGTCTGTGCTTCGGGTGCCCACCCCTCCGGGCGGCGGCTCTGGGGCGGGGGGATGCCCATTGGCGGAAGACGTGTGTGTGTTCCTTGGCTGCTGCCAGCGCCTGTTTTGGGTGCCAGGCGCCCTAGGCCTGGACACTAAGCGCTGACCCCTTGCCCTGCCCTTTAGGCGGAGAGGAAGGAGAGCAAGCGAGCGAGGAGGGGGGTCGCTCTCACTGGGGAGGGGAAGGAGAAAAGGAGGCAGAGAATTCCCCCTCCCCTTGGGGGATGGACTTGTTGGCATTTGGAGAGAAGTGAGAGTGCCTCTCGCACCCGGGGCTCAAGGGCTGGGTCCCTTTGTCACGTCTGCTGTTGCGTGTGTCCCCGAATGTTACAGGGCGCCTGGGCGGGAGGAGGCTGCCCCACCCCACGCCCCCCTCCCCCATGGGGCTTGTTTCCCTTGGCTTAGCAGTAAAGAATTTGTACATTTGCATTTTGATTGTTACTAGAAGAAAATTGTATTTTGGATTTTTACATGAGAGAAGAAGCCCCCTCCTCCCCCTCAGCCTTCCTCTCTCCTGCTATATAAATACCTATCTATACATATTCAAATATATCTATATATCTATATCTATACGTGAAGTGGCCCATCACTCTCTAGGCGCAGCACACTTTTATTTCCCAAACGGACGAGGCGCTCTCACCGTGGGGCCCATCCTGCCAGCCAATACTGGGAAGCGGATCCCAGTTGCTGCCCAGGGAATATTCCTCCCACCCACACCGGAAGAGTGGGGAGAAGGGCCCCATCTACCACCTGACAGACTACGGGTCCTTTTCTGCCCCCGCCCTCACAATATCCTGTCTCTGCAAAGGTCTAGATAGAGCAGGGTGCCAGTGGTGTCTGTCTTCACACACACACACACCCCATGGCCTTTTGTCTGCCAGGTTCACTCCTTCATCAGCTGGACGCTTCCTCCTCTGCACTCAGGTCTCTAAAGTGGTCCTGAGCCTTCCAGCTGGCCAGCCAGCAAATCCTGCCAAGCTCCATTTAGCAGCTGGAACCAGCGGACAGAGGGGAGAGCAGAGCGCTGAGTTTGCGGATCAGGATCAGTGAACTGTGGCCTGCCTTGCCCAAGCAGCCGGGGGGGGGGGGAGCCTGTGGGTTGCCTCCCACCCACCCACCCACCCCAGGCAAGACTCTTGGTTGCAGCACGAAAATGAGCCGGTTTTAGCCTTTGAAAGAAAAGCAAGGCAGGGGCCTCTCTCTGCTGATCTTCTCAGCCTCTCCTGTCCAGAGGAGGTGGAGAATTTGGGCCCTCCAAGCAGGGAGCAGAAGGGCCTTGCAAACTGGCCGCCTCCTTACAAAAACCAAGGTGGGGGGCTGTGAGGCTCTGTCTAGGCCTGGGGCGTCCGTCAGCCCAGTACGCTTGCCCCACAGCTCACTGGGCTTGCAGAGGGGCCGTTGTGGGGTGCCAGGGACCTTGGCCTTCAGCTCTGGATTTCCCAGCTATGAAGCTTTTCATGCTCCAGATGCTCTTTATGCTTTTCCGATTCTGGACCTCCTCCCTTGTAATGGTCTCCATGTAACAATCCCCCTGTTTTCTCATTTGCCATGGGAGGATCAGGCCGCTGGTCCAAGACCTTTAGGGGAACGTGTCAGCGGAGGGGGTGGCATGTGGAATGTGACAGCGAGGGCGAGTCAGGGGCACAAACGCAGAGTCGTAGAAAGGGCTTCTGGTCAAGAGGGGTTGTGTGGGTTAGTGAGAAGAGCCGGCAACAGGCAGCTAGCCTTAAAATTGGCTGCAAGTCTCCTGGTCAGTCACAAATTCAGCACAGTGAACTGCTCAACTCTGACAACTCCAGCCCTGCCACATTGAACTGGGCAAAAATATGCCAGGCTTGCCCTGACATGACCTTTCGGGGTGGGATGTGGTTTTGGTCAGCCTTGTCAAACCTTTAGAACTAAAGCAGGCATAGGCAAACTCCGGCCCTCCAGATGTTTGGGGCTACAATTCCCATCATCCCTGACCACTGGTCCTGTTAGCTAGGGATGATGGGAATTGCAGTCATCTGGAGGGCTGAAGTTTGCCTATGCCTGCTTTAGAATAATGGGATGGTAGAGTTGAAAAGGACCCCCCAGGTCATCCATCCAGCCCCTGCAATGCAGGGATTACAGTTAAATAATCCCCAACACCCAGCCTTCCCAGGGAGTCTGTTCCATTGTCAAATGGCTCTTTCTGAAATTTCTTCCTTGTGTTGGAATCTCCTTTATTGCCATTTGGATCCATTGCTTTGGGTCCCACCCTCCGGAGCAGCAGAAAACAAGCTTGCTCCGTCTTCCATGTGGCGGCCCTTGAGATGTTGGAATATGGATCTCCTGTCACCTCTGTCTTCTCCCTCCCTCCCTCCCGGCGTTCTGAGGCCCCAGTTGGAACGTGGCTCAGGGGCCAGCGCCACCCCTGCTGTGCTGGGACACCAACTCTGAACGTGGTTTGCTTGTCTTTATTGAACAAGGAGGCAGGACCACACCTGCGTGCGTGAGCAGGACACAGTACGGCAAGAGCAGGTCAGGACAGCAACAGAAAAGGCACCCCAACCCCCAGGGCCAGAGGGAAAAGGCTGGCGAGGCACTGGCTAGCCACACGACCCCTTGGGAACAGCAGCCCCCTCCCCAAACCAAACACACACAGCAGCCTGACTCCTGGCCAGCACCCAGGCGCTGCCTCAAGGTGGGCACTGCCCTCAGAAATCCAAGTCTCGGAATTGGGACGGGGCTCCTCCGCCCTGCCGCCTGCCTGGTCACAATCCAGCTGGGGAAGGGGGTGGAGCTGGTGGCAGAACCCCTTCTGCCTTGCCACGCATCTCGTGGGACTGGAAGAGTTGACCCAGCAGCTCAGCCTTTGCCAAACTGGTGCCCTCCAGAGGGTTTGGACTACCTCTCCTGCCTGGCAGGGGCAGTTGAGAGTTGTAGCCCCAAACACCTGGTCTAGTCCTAAGTGCTTCTCCCCCCCCCCCCAATTCTGGGGCAGGAATCAAAGACTGGCACTGCTGCCAGCCAGCCAGCCTACCACCCAGCAATCTAGGAAGCTGCCTTCTGCTGAGTCAGACGGTTGCTCTACCTAGCTCAGTATTTCCCGCACAGGCTGGCAGCAGCTCTCCTGGATACCAGAGGGAATCTCAGCCCTTCCTAGAGAGGCTATCTGGGAGTTTCTGCTTGCACAGCAAATGGCATACCAGTGGCCCCCGGACTGCCTAGCTCATTGCTGGCCAGTTATGGGTCCTTGTGCAGACACAGCAGGAAACCCCTCTGTTCTGCGAGCTACTCCAGGCTCCCAGACAACTGGACACTGCTCTCTTGGCTCTCCCTCCGCTTCTCGGGGCCTCACCTTCCATTCTGGGACACGTTCTCACACCCCACCAGTGGCCCAAAGGCCACAGAAAGCTCTGGCTAGAAACTTGCTTGGGCTGGCCAAGAAGGCAACCAAGACCCCTGAAGGCTGGGGTGAGAGGGACCTGGGGTACCCTGAGACACAACACGCGGCTGGGACTAGCTGCCTAGGATCCGGAAGCGAAGCCTGGGGAGGAGGCTCCTGCAGCTGGAAGCAGCTGGAAGCAGGACACCAGAGAGCAGCGGGTCAAAGCTGCTGTCCCAGGTTTTGCTCTTGCTAATGGCCAGGCTTTGTTGCTTGGCAGCGGGCAGGGAGAGGCCTTTTCCTCTAGGACACCTTCATTTGGGTTCCTGTGCACAGGCAGGCAGCGTGTGGCTTGGCTCGCTGACTGGAGCTTTGGCTTGTGCCCCTTGCAGCCTGGCACACCTGGGGCAGTGGGCAGGTTTCTGCGTTTGAGCACAAGAGTCAGGCTGCATGGCCCTGGGGTCCCTTTCAACTCCAAGGCTCTAGAAAAAGCCCCAGTCCTTGAGCCTCTGTGTCCGAGGAGCAGCTCAGGCCGGTGGGCATGGCTGGAGAAGAGGAGGAGGCTGGGGGGCTCAGTGCGGACCGGGGGCGGCACCTCCTGCTCCCCCACCCCCAAGCGTATCCTGTGGCCAGCCGTGGCAGGAGAGGTGGCGTGAAAAGCACAAGGGGGTGGAGAGAGGGGAGTCTGCAGGAGGAAGCAAAGGCTCAGTCGGCAGCGCAGGAGCAGGCGGGCGACGGCTGTCCACTGGGGCATCTCAGGGCCTTCAGCAAGGGGGGGAGGAGGAGGAGGCAGCAGCGCTCCTCACATGCCTGTGGAGAAGAAAAGAGAAGAAGCCGCTCACCTCATCTCCCTGGCCGGCACCTCAGGCCAAGCGGCCAGCCCCACAGACCCCCACAAGCCTCTCAAATAAGCCATGGGTCTCCTGCATGGAACTCCCTTCCAACTCTGATTCTGTGATTCCTGAGCAGAGTTTGCCAAGCAGTCAGTGACGGATCTGTTGGACCAAGGGTGGTCCTTGGTGATGTTTGGAGGAGGGGGGCGGCAGTTGAAGGACCCTCCTGGGACAAGCCTCCTTTGAAAGGGCCCTGCAAGGAGGCCTGGAGCTGCTGCTTTGGGAGGCGGAGTGAGCCCCCCCCCCAGGCTGCCACTCTTTTGCAGGAACACAGGGAATCGAGGCTCATGCCTGAAGTGTTCTGGCACAACAAATCTACTTTAAAAAATAAAACATTTTGATGGGACAAAATGCACCAAGAAACGCAATAAAATTCATGGTGGTAGAGGAAGGGAGATTGGGATGGCACATAGGGCGCTCCCTTGCGCCACGTCAGAGCCCTGGTCCATCTAGAGCAGGGGTAGGCAAACTAAGCCCGGGGGCCGGATCCAGCCCAATTGCCTTCCCACAGACGGTCCAGGAATCTGCGTGTTTTCACATGAGTAGAATGTCTCCTTTTATTTAAACTGCATCTCTGGGTTATTTGTAGGGCATAGGAATTCATTCATTTTTTGCCCCAAAATATAGTCCATCCCCCCCACAAGGTCTCAGGGACAGTGGACCGGCCCCCAGCTGTAAAAGTTTGCTGACCCCTGATCTAGAGCCCAGTATTGTCTACACTGGCAGGCAGCTGCTCTCCAGGGTGTCAGGCAGGGAGTTTTTCCGTTGCACGTTGAACCTGGGACCTTCTTCTGCCAGGCAGATGCTCCTCTGTCGCTGAGCTGTGGCCCCTGCCGCAACCCGGAAACACTCCTTGCTGTACAACCTCCCAACAATCCGACAAGAGCGAATGCTCAATAAGGGAAGGGGGACCAATCACTTCCTTTGCAAGGTTTCTGCAAGCAAATCTGGTTGGGTGCCTAATGGGCACAACCTGCCCCACATGCTCCCTCTGTGTAGGGCACGGGGTGCATCAGGGTTTCCCACCAGACACAACGGCATGCCCACTTCCCAGGGCTCCGTGGTGCCAGGGAGGAGGTCTTTGTTCCTGGGAACGGCACCTTCTGAACCAGCCCTGCTCCCTGACACTCGAGGGACACAAGGACGTGTGGCAAATTGGTGACCCTGCAAATGTTGTGGGACGGCAGCATCCTCACTCCCTGACTGGGGCTGGTGCAAGCTGGAGCCTGGCAACATCTGGAAGACCCCACCCCTGATTTTAGGGGTCAGAAGTGCATTTCAAAGTTTGGTAGAGGCCGCAGCGGCTTTGAGCAGGAACCGGACCCAACTGCAATGCCTTCAGGGGTCAAAAGTGGGGACATTTCAGGGGTCAGCATGAAAAATCAGGAATGGGGCCCCAGCGGATGAGAGCATTGGAGAGTCATCCCACTAACTCAAGGTGAAATGAACCTCAGAATCAGGCCAGCAACCTGTTCTCCCCGGGGCCAACCAGTGCTGTGGCCCTTCGTGGGACACTTATCTTGGGAGGCGAGGGTCTCCTCTGAATCCACTTCATGGTCCAAGCCTGGGGAGGAAAACATCCCAGATTAAAGCCAGAATAAAGGTAAGAGGAGCCTGCAGGATCAGGCCAAAGGGGGCCCAACCAGTCCAGCATCCAACCAGATGCCAATTAAGGGAAACCCGAAAGCAGGATTTGTGCGCAAGAGCCATTTCCCCCCTTGTGATTCCCAGCCGTTGCCGTTCAGAGGCAGAACCACCAAGACTAGCAGCCATTGAGCCAAGACTTGCCCCGGACGGGTCTCCCCTAAGTCTCCCACACTACTTGCCTCCCCCAGGACAGAGCCTTGCACAGCCCTCTGGAGGCGTTCTCCCCACACAGAGGCTTCGCATCAAGCACAAGAGACCCTCTGTGGAGTCACCCATTTTCCAAGACCCCTGATGTGACTCCCAACCCGGGAAGAACTTACTTTCTTGGGACTCGTGGGAATGAGCAGGAACATCCATGGCGGGACCTAGAGAAACCAGAGAGAGACAGAGGTCCCTTCCATATCCCACAGATGGGCACGTGGGGCTCAGAGGTGGCCTGGGCAGCGCTGGGTCTCAAGGACTTTCCACTGCCCTCCCAAGGGGGTTTACAAAGGTCTCCAAGGAGCCAGCAGCTCTTCTCCTTCCCCAAGAAGGTGCCCTCCAGATGGACTACATCTCCCATCAGCCCCTGTCAGTAGGACCAGGTGACACTGGGGTTTTGCGAACTGACCTGAACATAGGAGCCATCTCCTAAGAGCTCCCTCCCCCCCCATTAGATGGGCATTGCCATTCAATTGTCGTGCGTGTGACCACATAATGTGATCGAGGGGCGGGGCTTACCAGGACGCCCCATATTTTATTCAAGTTGGCACCCCTGGACCCGAACCTTGAGAGGATCAGAGGAGGCACTGGCAGGGCTTTCTGTGCAGTCACAGCCAGGCGTGGGGGAGGGCTGGCTTGTAAGTCAGGGCAGCTGAGGTCAGAGCCCCCATAAGAAGGCTATAGGGGAGGTGACAGGAGGGGTTGCTAGACAGTGGAAGGGTCTCCCTCAGGAGGTGATGGACTCTCCTTCCTTGGAGGTTCATAGGCAGGGGCCACCTGGATGCTTTAGATGAGGTTCCTACATTGCAGGGGGTTGGTCTAGATGACCCACAGGGTCCCTAAGATTCTATGGACCCATGAGAAGGCAAGGGCAGCCAGACTGGCAGACGTACCACTCTGGGTGTCTCCGGGCAGCGGGTCCAAGCTGAAGGATCCGAGGTTGGAGGCATCACTGTTGAGCATCATGTCCCCGTTGACCTCATCAGTGTGGGCGCGATCGGCCCCTGCAAAGCTCACGGGGGCCACCTCTGTCCATGGATGGAGTAAGAGATGAATCAGCAAACAGGTGCATTGCCTCTGGGTATGAGGGGGTCATACTGTGGGGCAGGGGGCCCTCAAAGTGAGCAGGGATCGTGCCAGCCCAGCCCAAGGCATTTTGCCACCTGAGGTCCAAAGGACAAGGTGCTCCCCACCCCTTGGCTGCAGGGAAGCTGCCTTGACTGGCAGCTGGGTCAGGCCTTCGAGTTTTGGGCTGGCAATGGGGGCAGCACACCCTCCACCTCGCCTGGGGGCAGCCGGTCCATTCAGGGGTCCCAGAATACACAGCTGTGTCCTCCAACAGAGAAGGGGCCAGTTGGAGGGCTCAGGAGGCAAAGGGGCACAAAGGGGGCTGGGGGAGCTTGCTGGGTCATGCCTACCTGTGGTCATGGGATCTGCAGGAGTTCCGATCTCACCTGTGGACATGGAGACAGGTGTTCAAATGATGCACGGCAGAGAGGATGAACCCCACTCCATCTTCTGCCTCCCCACAACCCTTTAGCCTCTAGACATTGGATGAAATTCCAGCCAAGGCCTCCATCTCTCTGTGGGCTGTTGTTCAGGAGCCAAAGCGAGTCCCAAGCTTGAACAGCTCACTGCAGAACGTGGACCCAGCTCAGGGGCTGAGCCTCTGCATGGCCAAGGAAGGTGTAATGGGGGTAGCAGCAGCATGCAACTCATGCAGGCAGCAGTTTGTGGCCACCCTTGGACTGCTAGAGCTCTTCTCCAGCTGGATGTTGTGAAGTAGCAGCAAGGGCAAGAGTGTCCCTGGGCATGAGCAGAGGGCGTCGCTCTCACACCTGAGCCACCACAGCCATCTCCCCTGGCTTGAGCCATCTCTCAGAGATTATTTAGCTGTGATTTCTGCTTGATGGGCAGGATATAAATAAATTATTATTATTATTATTATTATTATTATTATTATTATTAGGGGCTGGACTTCTCTGATTCTCTGATCCTCTGGCCTCCAGGATTCCACTTACTTTCTCCCGAGGCCTCCGATTTACCGGAGATGATGGGCTCTGAGTTTGCCATGGGCTCTGAAAGAGACGGGGGGAGGGAGAGAGAAGCTGAAGGGGGGCCGGGGGTCCCGTGCGATGAAGCCCCTTTGGGCATTTCCCCCTCAGCCACCCAGAGCCCCAAACAGGTTCAGGCCAGCTGCCCCCACCCTGGTGCCCTCCAGATGTTTGGAACTACAGCTTCCAGCAGACAGCATGGCGCCTGACTCAGGCTGATGGGAGTTGTAGTCCCAAACATCTGGAGCTGGAGGACTGTGGGGAGTCTGCTTTCCTTCCTGCTTTCTGGAGCCTTTCTGCTGCTCTCTTCATCGCAGGGGATTCTGGAGCAAGAAAGTGAATCCCTGGCACCCAATCCTTCGCTCTGAGAGCTGAGCTGATCACAGCAGCACTCGGTTCCTGTCCTGGCAAGTGGAGCAGCTGCTCTGCCTGCAAAGGGGAAGAAGGACTTTGCCCCTCCCTTAGACATACCTGTTGTCTGGCTGCCTGCGGGGGACGTGGGACTTGGGGAGCTCAGGGGCTCTGCAGAGAGAGAGAGAGAAGCAGTTGTTTATTATCATCGTTGTGGGTTGTGAGGCTCAGTCTGCATGATGCCCCAAGTCCCCTCCATTTCTTGGGGTCCTGCACCCAGCGAGGGTTCGAATCGTACAGAGGAGGTTCCTGAACTAGTTGGTCCAGCCTCTTTGTAAGAGCAGGGGTCCGCAAACTTTTTCAGCAGGGGGCCGGTCCACTGTCCCTCAGACCTTGTGGGGGGGCTGGACTATATTTTTTTGGGGGGGGAATGAACGAATTCCTATGCCCCACAAATAACCCAGAGATGCATTTTAAATAAAAGGACACATTCTACTCGTGTAAAAACACGCTGATTCCCGGACCGTGGGCCAGATTGAGAAGGTGATTGGGCCGGATCCGGCCCCCGGGCCTTAATTTGCCTACCAATGTGTAAGACCATGGCCATAGCTGGCTGCTTAAGTGTCCTCATCAGCGTCACAAAGGTGTGAGCTGGGATGCAAGAGCTACAACCAAGTAAGGGGGCCCTCCAGGCTAATGGGGGGGGCTTTTCTGCCACCCTCCCCTCCCCTGGAGAACAACAGCCAGACGATGTGCATGTGAGCTGCAAGCAGGCCGGAAGCCGGAGACACAGAGACCTGCTTGATCTGTGCTGGATCCAAAGCTGTGACTAATATAGAAGCAGGATCTGTTGTGGGGTTAACACTATGAGCCCCTCCAGCCTATGCTCATTGCAGATATGTGCTTTTTAAAAAACCCTATACAGTGGTACCTTGGGTTACAGACGCTTCAGGTTACAGACTCCACTAACCCAGAAATAGTACCTCGGGTTAAGAACTTTGCTTCAGGATGAGAACAGAAATCGTGCTCTGGTGGTGCAGTGGCAGCAGGAGGCCCCATTAGCTAAAGTGTTGCTTCAGGTTAAGAACAGTTTCAGGATAAGAACGGACCTCCAGAATGAATTAAGTTCTTAACCGAGGTACCACTGTATTCTAAACTGCTCACCTTCTTCCCAAGGAAACTGGACAGTGGAAAAGTGCTGGGAATCCCTGGAGTCTCTCACCGCTCAGAGGTTGTGTATTTGGGGTGCAAACTGCTTCTCTGCTTTGCAGGATGCTGGCCAGCTACAAGTGCCTCTTCCTCTTTCCTTTCTGGGGGTCCCACACCCCCAGCTTCAGGGCCCCCCCTCCACCCACCCAAGTGCCGACTGCAACTCACCATCTGCCACCACAATGGCCAGGAGCAGAACCGCAGCTGCCGTGAGCAAGAGGAACCTGGGGGACGGGAAGGAAGAGGGGGGCTGAGAGTGGAGAGGGGGCTGGAGCATTAACACAACAGTGGTTAAGAGTCTGAGCTTTGAGCCATGCCAGAAATCTCAGCTCAGCCGTGAAGTCCCTGGCCCTGCCTTGTGGCTTTGTTGTGGCTGGTTGTGCAAAGGTATGGGAAGAGCTTTAAGTGCTTAAATCAGAAATAATATTGTTTTAAAAGTTCATCAGGTTCTTCAGCAGCAGAGAGGGGCCTGCTGGGAAGCCACACCCCTGATCCCAGAAGTGGGGGGCATTCTGTACATGCTCAGTGGCACTCCCGTTCAACTTTGTCTTCTAGGCTGGCTCTTGGCACTCAAAACGGATATTGGGAGTGAGACCTGAATCTCACTCTGACTTAGGGTCCTCCAACGTCTGTGTTGCCAGCAAGTCTTGCGTTGTTCGTTAGAAGCCCAGGAATTGCCAGAACCACTCTGGGGCTGCCTGAGCTGGGAGACCACCCCCCCCTCCACAAGGCAGCAGTCTCCTCCTCTACTGCCCAGCTATGATGGGGCACAATTCCCTCCGAAAATCTCCTGCAGAACAACCACATGGCAGTGGAGAGGAGCTGCTGGAGAGACCCTGCCCACTACAGAGGAGAAGCTGTAGAAGTGAGACCCTGCTGATCCCTTGATGGTTTTATTATTGATACCCCACCCATCTGGTCGCGTTTCCCCAGCCACTCTGGGCGGCTTACAGCACATAACAAATTGTAAAAGGTACATAGCTGTCATACACGGGTGAGTCCTGGCAGTTTCCTGCTTGAGTTTTCCCTTTGCTCCTCTGCCTTCCAAGGGAAAACCCGCTCTTTAGTGATGCATCAGAACAAATGGCATTCTGGGGAAAACCCAAATTCCTGTTAGCTCCGATTGAGCACTAAAGAGCAGGGGGTTTTTTCCAGGAGGGTGAGGGAAGCAGCAGAACAAGGGGAGGTGTGGATAAGCCAGTCGGTATATACATATGTTTTCATTGTGAAATCACTTTGGGAAGCTTTACGAGAAGCAATTCATAAAGGAAATTAAATGAATAAATAAATAATATTCAGCTGAACAGTGCTTTGGGGTTTACATCTTTGCAGATAAAACATATTTTTCAATTTGTGAATTCAAAGTAGATTATAAAGCATAGCAACTGTTAAATATTTCATTTTGGTCAACATTTGCAGGAGGGAATAATTAAAAAGTGCAGTGGATACTGAGCGACAGAATCAGCTCCCCAGGGTTCTAGGAAGAAAAGGAGCCTTTGATCAGGCCCACCTGGAGATGCCATGGGGAACTGAGTCTGGGGCCTCCTGAGTCCAAACAGAAGCTCCACGGCTGAACCCCAGGCCAGGGCAAGAGCACAGCACTGGAGGGGGGGACTTTGGGGACCCTGGCTTCCCCCTCCTCTGGGTGCCACCTCCCACACCTCCTCCGGTCCTGGGGGCAACTCAGCAGGTGCCCATCCCCCGATGCACACGGACCAACTCTGCTACAAGGCCATCCTTCAGCAGGTGGCTGACTCTCAGACCACCCGCTGCCCAGTGGGGTCCACAGTTGGTCAGCTTTCTGGCCAACAGGCCTCCACCCCAGGCACTGAGCCAGGCTCCCTGGCAGCAGATATAACAGCAGGAAAACTGAGGAGAAGAGAGAGAGGGGAGGCTGATCTGTTCTGCGGGATGCCCTGCAAGCCCCACACCTGGGCAGGGATCTAAACCTGGATTCACCTGGGGCAAACAGGTGCATGGACCCAGCCCACCCACAGGAACCCCTTTCTGCACCCAAGCAAAGTTGGCACCCACCTGTGCTGTGCCCGCATGATCCTGGGCGTCTGACGCTTGGGGCGGTGCTGGGGTCCAGTCTCAGGAACTCTGGGGGAGGCAGAAACACTCTGTGTGCTGAGCCACGGGAGGCCCATTATATGGGTCTGTCCCCTCCAGGGGGGAGCCGGCTGCGAGGGGCCAGCCAATCCAGAGGCGGGCAGGAGGGTGATGGGTGGCTGCTGTGGGAGGGGCAGAGCCACAGAGGCCCCTGAGCAGCCCCTGGGCTCCCTTCCTGAGGGGCAGGGGGCTTCCTCCCCACCACCACCTGCCGCTGTGCAGCAAAGGTGTGGGGTGCCCAGCCATGAGGGGCAGCCCTTCCTCGCCCTGCCTGACACCAGCCCAAGTCCAACCCCAGACCCGGGCACAGGTACCCCTGCATCGCCTGCTGCTCTCAGGCTGCCAGTAGCTCCTCAAGGAGAGAGAGACAGAGAGAGAGAGAGAGAGAGAGAGAGAGAGGTCCTTCCCAGGGAGACTTTGCCGGCTGAAATGCTTTTAACTGGAGGGATTATTTACGCCATGATGAAAGTCTCAGGTGCCCTTCCTGGACCTTGGCACCTGCTCCCCATCAATTAACCCAGGCAGCAAAGAGGGGAGTTTGTTCGGTGGAACGCAAGCACTCCTTTATTAGCACAAAGGACAATTGGGAGTTCAGTGTGGGGGGTGTGGGTGGGTGCCCTCATTCGCTGGATCGGAACAGAGCCCTACTGCGAAGACTGTGCGTTGGTCAGCGTGCACTGATCTACACACACAAAACAAATTCATGCACAAGCGTCTTCCAAAAACCTAACCTAAAACCCAAAAGTCCCATGGCGATCGGCAAATGGTAATGGGAGCAGGACTGTGAAATCTGGAAGCCCCTAGTCATGAACCGGCACATGGGCGGTGGATACAGATTCAGTTGTTCTGACTCAAGGAACAAGGCAGTTGAGCCACTTGGCAGCTGTATCCATGACCGAGCAGCCCTTTTTAGGATCCACTCTGCTCACCCCGAAAAGAGGGAGGGGCTAGAAAAGGTGCCTTAAACATAGTCTGCCTCCCCTTTTCCCTGACTGGATTACCGTGCCCAGTGGGGTTACCACTGAATCCCTATTGTGGAAGGACGTGTGGATCCAGAATTGGCCTCCAGAGTCACTTATGGACTCATTGTTAAAACCGTGCTTATGAAAGACAATCTTACTCGGCTCCGAGGGATCGGCAAAGGAGTGAGGGTGCAAAGACTACAGAGAATAACTTTGCTCTGATTATGGATTATCTATACAGTGTCTCTGTCTGTCTGTCTGTCTGTCTGTCTGTCTGTCTGTCTGTCTATCTATCCACCCACCCCCAAGCCATGACTGTAGGAAGAGCCTGCCAGGACGGTCCAGGCCTGGGGTCCTCCCTCCTGATTGCCTGAGCAGATGAAGCCCCCCATGCCCCCCCAGCCAGATACACCTCTCCAGCCCCCCCCCAGCAATGCGGAAGGTGCCAGCGCCAGAACAAAGCTCCCTTTGTGGCTGTGGAGCATCTCAATGCGCTTTTGTTCGGGGCCTCTCTCGGCTCTCCTGGATTAAAGGCTTTCTCAGGGGTGACACAGGGCCTGTGGGGCTGGATCCGGTTGCAAGGGCTGCCTGACTGCCTGCCCCCCCGGGGGGGGGGACTGAGGCAGCTGCAGTGGCCCCTGGCACCCGGGCTGCTCCTGTGCCAGCTCCCCCACCCATTGCCAGCGTCTTCTGCCTGCTCCCTGTCCTCCAAAGAGGGTCTGAAGCGAGGGGTGGGGGCTGGACGTGCTCCGTCTCCCTGCCTCTTCCTCCTCAGAAGGGGGAGCCCCCAATCTCCCCAAAGGGGGAAAGGACTGGCTGCCCAAGGGGTCCCCTGAACAGAGCCAGGAACTTGATGCAACTGGCCCCTGGAGCTTTGTTGCCCATCTCACTGCTGGCCCACTCCTCTCCTTGTGGAAGCCAGACCAAACCTGAACTGAGCCCCAAACAGAGGGAGCAGGTGTGGGATGGCATGCTTTTAAAATAAAATGCTATTGTATTTATTTAAAAGATTTATAATTTGCCTTCTGAGCACACATTCCTTAAAGCAGCTCACATCTTAAGTAAAAACAGAGCCATATGTGACCTGAAGCCATCACAAGTATCTGCTTGTAACAGCAGTGGCATCAGAGGGACTGAGAAGGAATCTGGAGCCTTAAATTGCACCACCAATTGTTCCTTGGCTTCCTCATAGCCGAGTAAGATTGTCTTCCATGAACACGGTTTTAACAGTGAGTCCGTAAGTGACTGTGGAGGCCAATTCCGGATCCACACGTCCTTCCACAGGGGGGACAGAGGTTTCCGGGAGGGAGTTGATCGCAATTATCCTTGGCAAGCAGGAGGGTTGTTGTTGCTTAGTTGTTTAGTCTTGTCCGCCTCTTCGTGACCCCCTGGACCCCTCTAGCACGCCAGGCCCTCCTGTCTTCCACTGCCTCCCACAGTTGGGTCAAACTCATGCTGGTAGCTTCGAGAATACTGCCCCACCATCTCGTCCTCCGTCATCCCCTTCTCCTTGTGCCCTCCATCTTTCCCAACATCAGGGTCTTTTCCAGGGAGTCTTCTCTTCTCCTGAGGTGGCCAAAGTCTTGGAGCCTCAGCTTCAGGATCTGTCCTTCCAGTGAGCACTCAGGGCTGATTTCCTTCAGAATGGAGAGGTTCCAGGTGCCTTTTTAAAGTGGTGCCAAATGCAGATCCCCACTGGATGGAAGACTGATGGGAGTGTGGAACCAAAGCAGGATGTGTGTGTGTGTGTGTGTGTGTGTGTGTGTGTGTGAGAGAGAGAGAGAGAGAGAGAGAGAGAGAGAGAGAGAGAGAGAATGTTAGAGTTAGCAAAATTGTAGAGTTAGAGGTACACCCCCGGGGTCATCTGCTCAACACCCTGCAACGCAGGAAACTTAGCTACATGACTTGCGAACCCTTCCAGTTGGTTGTGTCCGCTGCCTCCTTCCTGCTTGCAAGTCCAGGCCTTGCTAAGGCGACTGCCCTGATTCTTGAACAGGGAGCAGCAGTCTTTGATGTGCATCTCTGGAGACAAAGGGCTTGGAGGAAGGAGAAGTCACGCTTAGGAACCTGGAAATTTGGCCCCCGGACAATGCAGCCGAAGGAGTGGGGAGCTGCTGAGGGTGGGGGGTTTCCTGCTCCCCCCTCCTCCCACCTGCCTGGAGAACACTGTGCAGACCCCGGCCCGGCAGCTGGCCGGCAACCAAGCTGGGGCGCATGAAAGGCAGCCGCCAGGCTCCCCGTCGGCTCGTAAAGCCTTCCCCGGGATCAGCTCTCGCCTGCAGCCATGTGCGCGGGCTCCAGGGAGTCCCCGGGGCCTGGCCCTCCGGGACGGGGCTTCTGGCACCTGGCTCCAGGCGGGGAAAGGGATGAAGGGGGCCAGCTGCGCGAGAAGCCCCGCCGCACCTGAGCTGGGCTGCTGGCGGGCGGCGGGGCAGCGCGCAAAGAGGCAGCGCGCATTCCGGGCGCCTCCGGGGTCCCAGCTGAGCAGAGCCAAGCCCGGAGCGAGCCATGGGGAGGAAGGCGAGGGGAGGCTGCCAGCAGGACCCCTGCATGCGCCACACCAATCTGGGGCGGGAGGGCGACCTCTGAGCAGAGGAGAGCTGCGGGGCAAACGGGTGGCACCCGCCCGCCCCTGCCCCTCACCAAATGCCTGGGGTAACTTAGTCGGTCGAGCATGAGATTCTTTAAGAAAAAATAAATTAAGAATTTCAACATAACAATTTATCAAAAACATATCATCCTCATCTCCCACCTATTTCCCCCTCCTTCCTCCCCAAACCAGACCCCCCCAAGCACATGTTAATCTCTGCATACTATAAAATTGTAAAGATCCTTAATTATCTATCTTTATCTTACCAATAATAAATTTGTGTATGTTTATTCAAAACCTGCCAAGGAGTCCAGTTCATTTTGTTGTTTCTTTAAGTACTTCGTAAAATGTTCCTATTCATCTTTAAAGTCAAGTTGTCCTTATCGCGCAGTTTGTGCCTCAATTTCGCCAATTCTGCGTAGTCCATCAGTTTCTCTTGCCACAGTTCTTTCGTCGGGATTTCTTCATTCTTTCACCCTTATGCTATTAAGACTCTTGCCGCCATTGTCACATACGTAAAGATGTTTTTCAATTTCCTTGGCAGGACTTTTCCCACAATCCCAAACAAGAATGCTTCAGGCTTTTTTTACAAATGTTAATTGGAACATTTTCTTCAACTCATTGTATATTGAGCATGAGACTCTTAACCTCAGGGTCGCAGGTTTGAGCCCCGTGTTGGGCAAAATATTCCTGCATTGCAGGGGGTTGGACTAGATGACCCTTGAGGTCCTTTCCAGACCTACAGTCCTGTGATTGTCAACGCAGGCATCTTGCAGGCCTGAAGCATGTGTCTCACCAGGTTAGTTGTCTCTGGGGGTACAGCTGGGCTTCTTGACATTAAAAGATGGCAATAGCACAGTCTTCCTTGACTGGGCGCCCTGCAGAGGTTTCAGACTACAGCTCCCACATCCTGACTGGGGCTCGTGGGAGTTGTAGTCCAAAATGCCCAGAGGGCGCCAGGTTGGAGATGCTCCAGTAAATCCACAACAAACTCCCTCCTGAAACCTTTTCTGCTCTAAGCAGTTGTGTAGTTGGCTCCCCCCCTTTGCGCCCAGGTAGGCCACGGATGCCCCCCAGGGGTCAGGAAGGGGGGGCTTTTAATCTCCTGAGCAGGCAGGTGTAGCCTGGATGTCTGCGAAGGGCGGCAGCCCCTCCCTCCTGGCATTCTTCCCCCCACCTCCCTGGGCCTGGCAGAACAAGGGGCTCTTTGCTCCGGGCTCAATGCGCTTTTGTTCCCAGATGAAAGGGTCTCCAGGAGGGGTGGCTCAGGAGATTGCAGAGGGCAATTGGGCTCTGGGGCCTCCCGAGAGTGTGGGGCTCAGGGGGGCTCTGGAGGCAGCGCCACAGCCGACGTCCTCATAATGACAGGCCAGCTTGCCAGCCAGCCTTGAAGTCTCTTCCAGTGCTCTGGCCCAGAAGGGAGTGGACCGGCAGCAGCGGCTGCTTGAGTGACCTTCCTGCCTGGACCCAAAGGCAGAGGAAGGGGCTTCTCCGGGCCTCAACTCAAGGTCAGCAAAAGCGGGAGGGACTGTTCACACAATCCATCTGCACACAGGTTGTCTGTGGGAAGCAGAGACTCCAAAGCTCATATTTCAATGTTGCATTAGGAAGGTTTTGGGGACTGGTTCCTGCAAAACTACCAAGGGGACCCCTCCAACATGGGGGTAGGGAATGCCCCACCTGGATTGGGGTGAGGGGTGCCTCAGATTAGAGCAGGCTGAAGGCAAAGAGTAAGGTTACCATAACTTCCATCATGACAACTTAGTGTGTGCACACTCAGAGGATGACCTCCAAATCATCCTAAATATCTTCGCAGAAGCTTACGAAAAGCTTGGACTATCGCTCAACACCAAAAAAACCCAAAGTGCTGCACCAACAAGTACAAAATAACCCCTCTGCAGCATCACAAATCCAACTCAATGGTGTAACGTTGGAAAATGTCGGTCACTTCTCCTACCTGGGCAGTTATCTTTCCACTAAGGCCAACATTGATGCCGAAATCCAGCATCGCCTAAGCTCTGTGCATGCAGCTTTCTCCCGACTGAAGTACAGAGTGTTTGAGGACCGGGACATTCGCAGGGAAACAAAGCAATTGTACTACCAACCTTACTGTATGCTTGCGAAACATGGACCACTTATAAACACCATCTCCAATTCCTCGAAAGATTCCATCAACGGTGTCTCTGAAAATTTTTACACATCACTTGGGAAGACAGGCGAACTAATATCAGTGTACTGGAAAAAGCAAAGATCACCAGTGTTGAAGCAATGCTTCTTCAACATCAACTTTGTTGGACTGGTCATATTGTGTGGATGCCTGGTGATCGTCTTCCAAAGCAACTACTCTATTCCGAACTTTAAAATGGAAAGCGTAATGCTGATGGTCAATGAAAGAGGTTTAAAGGCTATCTCAAGGCAAATCTAAAGAAATGTAGTATAAACATCGACAAATGGGAAACACTGGCCTGCGAGCGCTCCAATTGGAGAACAGCCTTGACCAAAGGTGCCATGGGCTTTGAAGACACTCAAACTCAGGACCCAAGGGAGAAACGTGCTAAGAGGAAGGCACGCTTGGCAAATCCACACCATGATCAACTCCCATCTTGAAACCTATGTCCCCACTGTGGAAGGATGTGTGGATCCAGAACTGGCCTCCACAGTCACTTACGGGCTCCCTGTTAAAACCTTGTTTATGGAAGACAATCTTACTCAACTACGAAGGATCACCAAAGAAGAAGAAAGAGGGGTGCCTGCCAGGCTCAGCACAGGCAGGTGTGAACCCAGTTTCTTGGGGGGGGGGCAAAACCATGTTAGTCTTTGCTAGAGCAATGATGAAGAGTCTTTGTGAGACCTTGAAGGCGAACATATATGGTGGCGGCAGTGTTTGTGGACTACGGCCCACTCCCTGCTGCCACCCTTAAGCCAGAGAGGACTTGGAAATTTTCAAAGTGCCCAAGACTTTACGTTGTCCTTGTGGGAATTCAGGCTCTCGGGAGACAAAGGCAGCCCCTTTGCACAGCTTCCTGTGAACTGAGCGCCGTTGCTGCGCTTGGATCTGCTGGTGTCGCCAGGTGAGAGCGCTTGGATCTGCTGGAGGAGTTTTCACAGCGTGAAATTAAACCCAACCACCTGCGAGCCGCTGCCACTGAGAGGCAGGAGGAGGCCGTGCCTCCCAGTCCCCCCCCCACTTTTAATTCCAGTGATTATGGAAGGCAAGAGGGGGGGTCATTTCTAGGGGGCGGGTGGCACAGCCCACACAGGACAATGGGCACACTCAGCGCTCTTGCCAGCAACGCTGCCTCTCTTCTCTCTTGAGTCCTGCTGCCTGGAATGTGCCCCCCCCCCTGCGCACATCTTTCTGGGTGCCTGGCTGTGTCTTTTTGGGGGGTTCTGCTGCCCCCTGGGAGCTCCGTGCGGCACTGCAGATCGCGGCTGGGCTCTACATTTCTGGAGGAAATTGAATTTCAGATCTCTTTCGATCTGCAGCTTCTGCTAAATACAACACAGGCAGTGCCAGATTTATGTATAAGCTAAACAAGCTATAGCTTAGGGTCCCACTCTCTTGGGGCCCCCCAAAAAAAATTAAAGGGAAAAAACCAGCATGTACATTTCCAAAATATAAAACAAATAAAATAAAACCTACATACAGCAACAGTGTTTTGTGTTTTGTGTTGTGTTTTGTAGGCTCCTATGATGTAAGTAATGGGCCCCACCTGCTAGCCTGCAGAACGCAACAAACAGGGGCAATTTGTTGTTGACCAAGGAAAGCTGGACATATAAAGGGCCCCATTACCGTCAGTAGCTTAGGACCTCATCCAACCTCAATCCGGCCCTGAGCACAGGGAATCTCTTTTGCTACCCCATGTCAGGTACCACATGGGTTGCATTTTCCAGGAAAAGGGTATGTTCTTTGTCATGTGGGAGTTGGTTGGGTCGATGCTGTGTTGGTTGTTGTTTAGTCGTTTAGTCGTGTCTGTCTCTTCGTGACCCCCTGGACCAGAGCAGGCCAGGCCCTCCTGCCCTGTTGGTAACACAGGACTATTTTGAGTGGCACCAAGTCATGAGTCTGAGGTTATGAGATTCAGCCGGATCCTATTTTGCTTCCTCCTAACATATAGGAGGATTATTATTACTACTATTAGAAATAATAGAGAAATGGTTATGGATGTGCTCATAATGCCATGGGGCATGTATGCTGAACAGTGAGGAGAAGAAATAGAACCATCAGTTAAGATGGATAAGAAAAACAACTTGCCTTTGGTACAAAAATGAAGGCAGGCAACACTGGGACACGTTGTCTAAACTGTCAGCCTTCTGCTCTTTATTTCAAAAGAAAACGTGATGTTGATTTGTTTCAAAGCAGCATCTGCAATGCCTTGGAAATTAAAAGGGGGGGGATAATAGCTTCAGGATTCTGAGCAGTTGGAGAAGTTGCTGCTTTGCCAACAGAGGCATTGAGAAGCCCATGTCCACACATCGCATTGTACCCTCCAGATGTTGTTGGATCAGCACTCCCACCCCCCCGACCATTGGCCATGCCTGCTGAGGCTGGTGGGAGTCCAACAATATAAGGGGGCAACACAGGTGTCCCAGCCCTGCCAGAAACCTTTGCTGAGTGTGCATAAATTAATCTCACCCCTTTTGCTCTCCCTGGTTCATGCAACAAACCACCATCTCTGGCTTAGCGTGACCTTCATGTTTCTTTCCAAACAAACCAGAATCCGTAGCGTTGCAGACTGTGGTTTGCTGGAGCAAAACAAAGGACACTTCCCAATCCAAGCGTAAGGGCCATCCCAGGGACCGTGGATTGTTTCCTCCTAGTATGAGTGAAGAGGAAAGAAACAGCCCAGAAAGGTGCACTGATGCTAAACCATTAAGTGGGGCTGCCCATGACATGCAAACAAGGCAATGAGTTATCTGAACCCATGTTGGACCCTATGGGTTTGGGGGTCAGCTTTTGCAGATGGGTGCTTAGTCGTTTTCAGTCCGAGTGGTATGTTAGAACAGCGGACCCTCCAACAAATGGGAAAAATAAAAGACAGTGAAAATGTAATTCACAGATTTGCACAAGCGATAGAGACGACCTGTAGTTCAGGAATGCTTGGTCCCCATGTCCTGTCTGGTGTCAGGGCAAGGAAAGTGGCCTCCCTGGGCTAGAATGAGGCAGCAGCAGCTGGTCCAGCTGCCCAGGGGAGACCTTCGTTTCTCTGCTCTTGCGCATGAGTTGGCTCAGCAGGGGCAGCTCTTGATGCCATTTGCCATGAACTGCAAACGTTGCACCATCTGTGCCCGTGACACTTGCGCAAGCACATTTCCACACAGCCGTTGCAACCATCATGGGGGTGGGTGCAGTTGTAGCATCTCCCCAGGTCCCAAGCACTGTGTCGCAGGTCCACCCGACCTGACGCAGCTGTGCAGGGTTCTGGGCACTGGGTTCCAAGTTCCCTCTGGGTTGTTGAGATTGCACTGACCCTCCAGAGAGCCAGTGTGGTGTAGTGGTTAAGAGCGGTAGTCTCGTAATCTGGGGAACCGGGTTCTTGGGCTCCGGATCCTCCACATGCAGCTGCTGGGTGACCTTGGGCCAGTCACACTTCTCTTGAAGTCTCTCAGCCCCACTCACCTCACAGAGGGTTTGTTGTGGGGGAGGAAGGGAAAGGAGAATGTCAGCCGCTTTGAGACTCCTTAGGGAGTGATAAAGCGGGATATCAAATCCAAACTCTGCTTCTTCTTCCTTGGCTCGCAAAGTCGTGGGCCTCTGAGATCCCTCTAGACAGGGCAGCTGGTGTTGCAAGGGTCTCCGGAGTGGAAGAGGTTGTAGACGTTGACCAAGGGGAACATGAGGAGGGCGCCCACCATAGAGCCCAGCTGCACCATCGCCCCGCACCAGACCAGGGCGCTGTGCCCCTCATCCCGCAAGACCACCCCGATCATCAGCTTGACGTAGGAGAGAAGGCCGACGAAGAGCACCCAGCACAGGATCTGCAAAGGAAGCCAAGCATCAGCAGGGGGTGGCCAAGGGCCTCTGGGTGCCCCATCGATGAGCAGTGGGTGAAGGCACAGGGTCTCAAGGCCACCAAATGCAGGTTCACTGAAGCACCCTGACATTGGGCCACCTTCAGGTGTTAGTTCATGTGCATGACTGATTCCTAGGGGCTCTGACAGTCCGCACTGGGGAGAAGAGGGCGCTGGTCCGTTCAGAGTCCATGATATCAAGCACTGCCTTTTCTTACATGAAGCTGCCCGCCTCCAAAGCAGCTGCCGGGGTCTTTCCCTGGGTGCCCCTCACCCAATGAGGTCATGTGCCTGGTAGTGCCTGGAGGGAGGGCCTTTTTGGTTGTGACACCCTGGACTCTCAGGCGAGGACCTCTTCGCCCTCCTGGCCTCTTCAACCCTGAGGAAGCTGAAGTGGGAGGAAGGGTGCAAGGGCCTTATCCTGTCCCCCCCTCATACTTACAATGAGGACGACTCCATGGGATCCATGCAGCAGGAGAGGGCAAGGGCTGAGCACCGCCATGGCCATGATGTAGCAAGCAAACAGGGATCCGGCCAGGGACAAGACTCCCATGAGCATCAAGGATCTGGGGGTGTGTGGAAAGAAGTCGGAGAAAGCGAGGGGGAGAGAAATGGCTCAGGACCCCAGCTCAGGACCCTCCCAACACCCCTGGTCTGGTGGAGGCCGCCAGGCTTAGCAGCAGGGCATCCTGCCCTCTCCAGGTTTAGTGGCACCTCTGCTGGGGGGCTGCATTCCCTCCAACCCCCCTCTGATCAAAACAGAGGTGCTCGTTTTTGGTCTCATGCTCTTGCATGAGTCAGCCGGATCCCGCGAGAACATGGGACCCCAAAACAGGACATTCTGGGGTCCATTCGGGACCTGGGACGGCTTCTGTATTTCTGGGATGTGCTGCTCAAATGGGGATGATTGAGGGATTTGGTGCTGGAGCCAATCTGGGCACTCTGCCTTAATGCCAGCCACCCTTGCTGGGCCAGCTCCGTTACTGGTGACATTTCTTGTTGAAAAATGTCTTCCATCCCCACAGACCCCAAGCGGGCATGCAAAGGGCATGAAGAGAAGGCGGAAGGGCAAAAGGGGTGACCTGAGTGCCACCTTCAAACTTCTAAAGGGCAACCACTCGGCAGATGGGGTCATCTTGTTCTCTGCTGCTCCAGCGGAGAGGACCCGAACCAACGCAGTCAAATCACAAGGGAGGAGATTCTGACTAAATGTCAGGAAGAACTTTCTGACCATAAGAAACCCAGCATGTTTCTGAGCACAATTCAAAGTGTTGGTGCTGAGCTTTAAAGCCCCAAATGGCCTCGGTCCAGTAGACCTGAAGGAGCGTCTCCACCCCCATCGTTCTGCCCGGACACTGAGGTCCAGCTCCGAGGGCCTTCGGCGGTTCACCCCTCACTGGAGAAGTGCCAAGTTACAGGGAACCAGGCACAAGGCCTTCTCAGTGGTGGTGCTTCCCAGTGGAACGCCCTCCCACTAGATGTCAAAGAGAACAACAACTACCAGACCTTTTAGAAGACATCTGAAGGCAGCCCTGTTTAGGGAAGCTTTTAATGTTTGAGGCATTACTGTATTTTAATATTGTGTTGGAAGCTGCCCAGAATGGCTGAGGAACCCAGCCAGATGGCAGGGTATAAATAATAAATTATAATTATAATTATTAATTATTATTATTATTATTAGACAGTGGAACGGACTCCCTCGGAATTCCTGCATTGCAGGGGGTTGGACTAGATGACTCCTGGGGTCCCTTCCAATTCTAGTAAATCCCGGAGATCTGCCCCACACCCCTCCATTGACAGCGCAAGCCCTGACTCAGCCAGACCATCTGCACATATTCTGAACTGACCCCAGCCAAGGGCCCTGCGTGTGCCTTCTGCCCCCTTCCCAGCAGCCCACTCACCTGCTGGGCAGGTACATCCCCAGGAGGCAGGCCAGGGGGTTGGCCAAGGCAGCCAGGGTGGCAGAGAGGTGGTACGTGGTGTTTCCATAGGGCAGGCAGGAGTAGGACTGCACTGCAGGGAGGACGCCGTTGGTCAGGGCGTTCACCCAGCCCAGCAGCCCAAAGATGTAGGCTACCTGGGGCCAGGAGTAGGTTCCGGATCCGAAGAGGCTGCCCGCGGGGTCGCTGAGCCTGGGCCGCTCCTCCACCGTGGCGCGCCCGCCGCCCGCCACCTCCATCTGGACTCGCACCCGGTACTTTTCCTTGGCCTGCTCCCGCCTGGCGGCTGGCAGATGGTTGAGGAGGAGGAAGGAAGCCAGGCAACAGGCTGTCATGGCACAGAGGAAGAGGAAGAAGGCGGTGGCGGAGAAGCGGGCTGGCTGGTACTCTGCCCGCAGGCCCGTGCCGTTGCCCTGCTGGCTCCCGTTGACACAGCGGAGCGTGCCCACCCCCTGGCCCAGCGCCACCAGCCCTGGTAGGAGGCCGCTCAGCCCCTCGCCCACGAAGTAGGTGCTGAGGTAGGGCGCTCGCAGCCTCTGCATGTAGGGCAGGAAGGTGACGGAGGAGGTGCAGTCCACCAGGGCCAGGAGGAAGAAGAGGCTGAGGAGGGCCACACTCCGGGGGGAGCTGCCCACCACGCTGGTCTCCCCCCAGAAGAAGGCCAGCAGCAGGCAGGCCAGGGAGCCGAGGGAGAGGATGGCGTAGATGACGCCCACTTCGCTGAGCCGCCCCGGGAGGAATCGGTGCACCAGGGTGACGGCCAGGGGCCCCACGTTGGCCAGCTGGGTGATGACGGTCAGGCAGGACGGCAGGAACCAGCCCTCCGGGGCGCTGGGCACGATGAGGGGCAGCTCCACCCACATGCCGTTGATGGCCACCCAAGAGCCGGTGCCCAGCAGGCAGACCAGGGCGTGCACCACCAAGCTCATCGCTGTGGCGGGAGGGTCAAGGGGGGCGGGTTGGCGGCTGCCGGCCACTTCTGGAAGAGGAAAAGGAGGCAGCGGATTAAGGAGAGAAGAGCAGATGGTATTTATCACAGGTTAAATTGTCAAAAATGGATAAAAACAAAAAGAAAAAGTGTTGGAGATGTGAAACAGAAGGTACATTCTATCATATGTGGTGGGATTGCAAAAAGGTAAAATCCTACTGGGAAATGATATATAATGAATTGAAGAAAATGTTGAAAATAACTTTTGTAAAAAAACCAGAAGCCTTTTTGTTAGGTATTTTAGGTCAAGATATACCAAAAGAAAAGAGGACTATATTCATGTATGCCACTACAGCAGCAAGAATGCTGATTGCACAAAATTGGAAGACTGGAGAAATACCAACTAAAGAACAATGGCAAGAGAAGTTGATGAACTATGCAGAACTGGCAAAAATGACAGGAAGACTAAGAGAAAAAGGCGACAGAGACTTTGAACAAGATTGGGAACCATTCATATTATATTTGCAGAAACAAAGAAAGGCAATAGACTTGATGGCAGGATTTAAATAAACATCCACAGTATTATCATCAGAAAATGTTTGGAAGATAGTGAAATAAGATGATGTATTTAATTTTATTTTTATGTTTTTAAGGTTTGGTGTGATGTTAGTAATAACTTTTTCTGTGGAGAGATAGCAAAGCGGGTGAAAATAGAAACAAACCAGAAACGCAAGTTGAGGGAAGTCGTGGAGGGGAGGGAGGGAGGAATATATAGCAAACGTTAAGAATTTGAGATGTATGTAATGAACGAAAATGAATAATGAATAAAAAAATTATTAAAAAAAAGAAAAGAAGAGAAGGGCATAAGGAGAGGCTGATGGATCAGGCCAGGGGCCCGTCTGGTTCTCACGGGGGCCAACAGATGCCCCAAAGGGAAACCCGCAAACAGGACCCCAGGACAAAGAGCCCTTTTCCCTCCTGTAGTTTCCAGCAAGCATTGCTGCCTCCGACTGTGGAGACAGAGCAGAGCCATTTGGCTAGGAGCCATCAATAGCCCTCTTTTCATCATCCATGAATTTGTCTCATCCTCTTTTAAAGCCATTCAAATTGGTGGCCATCACTCCCTCCAGTGGCAGGGAGTTCCACAGGTTAACTGCACGGTTAACGTGGTTAATGCCCTGAGATTCCCTGGGGTCTGAGTGAATGCCTGGCCTTTTCTGGTAGGCAAGCCAACGGGTGACTCCCTCTGCCAATCCGCCTCCGTTTTTGAGAGGTGGGTTTGGGCTGCAGGCTTAACCGTTGCAGGTGTTGGGGGTGGGTGCTGCTTCCAGGAGCCATTCAGGCAAAGGGGTTCAAATATTTGTGGTCCTTCCAGACTAGTCTGGGTTGGGATTCAAGTCCGTCTCAGCTGAATCCGGTTGCATGGTTAAAGTTCCTTTGGCGCTTTTACGCAACAAAGGAACAGGAAAATGCCCCCTTGCTTGTGCCAAGGCCAGCTCAACTCCCTGCTCATAAATCAGACCACCAGCCACATTGAACAAATCCAGATAAATGGTTCTGGAAGTGGCCTTGGGGAGTGTCTGAGAAGCCCAGCTGCAGCAGCTGGGTCAGGCCAAAGGGGGCACATCTGGCCCAGCAGAGAATGAGACGCCTCCCATGTCACTGTGGGGCCAAACTCCAGCTGGGTCACAACAGGAGCACGACCACCATGCAGATGTATAGCAAAGGATTAAGAAGCAGCTCCCCAATGAATGTCTGGGTTAAAAGTGGGTCTGAACAGGGTGACGATCCCTGCTCTAAGGGAAGCCCCCAGGCAGGAGCTGAGGGCAACAGCAGGCCTCTCCTGGGTCCACCCCCCAAGACGATTCTCCCCTGAGCTTTCCCTCCCTCCAGCATCACACAGCTGACTCGTGTTGGGCTTGTGATCACGGACGATCCCGAGATCCTTGTTGCTGCTGCTTGCACCTCTTCTGTCGGTCTGACTCGTCCGCCTGCTTTTTTCTCAGGCTCTCCTTTCGGGTGACACAAAGCAGGAGTGTCGGAGGAGCCTTGGGCTTGAGGCAGCCTGTGCTGCAGGTGAATCTCCCTGTGATATTATGCCAAGAAGCAAGCAGAGAGTATGTGTGGGTCAGGCTTGCTCCGGCTGCTACCCAGGTAGAATCCACCAGTCTGTCTCCTCCAGCCTTTCAGGGTCTGGGGAGCAAATCCCCCAAGGTGTTGCTGGGGGGCAGGGAGAGGCGAAGCTGCCAACTTCAGTTTCTCTCGCTTTCTTGCTTTCCCACCCTCAAGTTCCAGTCTCCACATTTCCACATCAGTTTTCAATTTCTTTAAAAGGTCCTCATCATAGCTGTCAATTTTCAGATTTGAAAATAAGGGAACAGCAGCCTCGAAAATAAGGGACCAGCAGCCTCCCCTGTCCCAGGGACAGTCTAAGGGATATCTAACCATCCGGGATAGCAGCAGGAAACGGCGCTGGAATAAGGGAATTTCCCACAAAAAAGGGGAAGGTTGACAGCTATGGTCCTCATGAAAATTCACCAGCTTTCTAGTAGAAATTTCTCCTAATGGGCATATTAGTATGCAACATTGCCCGAATTACACAATTTCCCCTAAAATTATGCTACTTTCACTAGCATGTACGTCATTATCGACACTTCTCCCCAATATATGCATTTTTGCACATATTATGTGGCTGGTGAACTGCACTGCAAAATTCAGAGAAATGCAGATTTCGAAAGCTAGATGTGTTTTGATTCCCTTATTGTTTGAAAGGCGTAAATTAGGGAGATCCATGTTTAAATGTGCACTGAAGGGAGTTTTGGAGACTGGTTCTGTCCAGGGACAATCTCCATACCTCCCATCTCTCCTGCTCTTGGCCAGGACTCTGCCTGCCCTGGGTCGGCCACAGGCAAAAGGGCAAAGGGGCGCTGTGCTTGTGGAGCCTGGCACAATTAGGCTTTAACCTCCTCTCCATCGAGCTCTCAGGCAGCCGCCTCTTCCTCCTCCTCTTGCAGACACAGTCTTTGGACTTGGCCAGGAAGGGGCAAAGTCCCGCCACTTTTTCCACATCGGGGCCTCATTTTAAACTGTCCCTGCCCCTCCCAAAGAGGAGAATTGTTGCACTCTGCAAAAGGGGTCCTGCTGCAACCTGGGGCAGAGACTGAAGCTATGGGGGAGGAGGAAACGTAGGTAGGATTTGGGGGTGGGATGAAAATCAGATGGGGGGACTTGGGGAAGCTCACCTAACAATGTTTAGAAAAAATAAGGATAAGGCAAGAATTTGTATGTATTGATTGTTTTTTCTGTTTGTGTTGTTTAGTTGTATTATAAAATGAATAATTTTGGGGGGGAAGGATTTGGGGTGGGGGTGGACAAAGAGGCAGGTAGTTCTGACCCCCCCAAAAAACACCACCTGTTGATGCTCCAGGAGCTGCCTCCTAGTTTCTTGGATATTAAGAACTGCTGCTGCTGCTGCTGCTGCTCTCACCTTTTCTATTTCTTCTTTCTTGCCTTGTTGTTTAGTCGTGTCCGACTCTTCGTGACCCCCTGGACCACGCCAGGCACTCCTGTCTTCCACTGCCTTCTTACCTTACTTTCTTTAAAAGGTAGAAGATGCCATTTGCCCCCCCACCACCTGGCCCAGTCCAGGGCATTACTGTCTGCATAGACTAGACCCCTCAGCAGTCTTGGACTGCTTCCCTAATGAAAGGCAAGCCCCATTGCCTTCAGGGATGGATGGGGAGTTAAATTGCATCGCTGAAGCATTTTGTTTTGAATTTGAGTTTTTCTCAACAGCTTCCTCACAACTGTGACAGAAAAACAAACAGAGAAATGAGATTCCTGCATTGCAGGGGGTGGGACTAGATGGCCTTTGGTGTCCCTTCCAACTCTAAGATTCTATGAAAACAGATGTAGACAGAAAAAAAACACACACAGAGCCAAGCGCTGGTGGGGAATGGCAGAGATTATTTCCCCCTGGCAGTGAGTGACAGCTGAGGGCCCCAACCCCATCTGGTGGTCGGGGGAGCCCATGATTTCTCCAGGCAGGGAAATTGCCATCAAGTTAAGACCCAGGACCCCTCCGCCTGGGAATTAAGGTGTGGCTAAAGAGCAACAGGGACGCAGGTGGCGCTGTGGGTTAAACCACAGAGCCTAGGACTTGCCGATCGGAAGGTTGGTGGTTCAAATCCCTGTGACAGGGTGAGCTCCCATTGCTCAGTCCCTGCTCCTGCCCACCTAGCAGTTCGAAAGCACATCAAAGTGCAAGTAGATAAATAGGTACAGCTCTGGCAGGAAGGTAAACGGCGTTTCCGTGCGCTGCTCTGGTTCGCCAGAAGCGGCTTAGTCATGCTGGCCACATGACCCGGAAGCTGTACGCCGGCTCATTTGGCCAATAAAGTGAGATGAGCGCCGCAACCCCAGAGTCATCTGCAACTGGACCTAATGGTCAGGGGTCCCTTTACCTTAAAGAGCAACTCTGACTCATGCCGCTAATAAACTCAACCACCTTGTGTCTCTGTCCCCCCCCCACCAGGGGGGACGCCTTTGTGGACTTGGAACTCCTTTGCTCTGAAACCAGAGGGTCACCCTGAATTCCATGGAACCATTAAGGGGGGGGGTCCCTCCCAACTCTGCAATTCTGTGGTTCAGGGAAGGCGCCATCCTGGCTCCGTCTGTTTGTTGGCTTGCCTTCTGAAGCCGTGAGTCTAAGTAAACTACCCATAACCTTTTCCCCAGCTCCTGACTCAAGAATGCCGAATCAATCATTACAGGGAATGGCTAAAGAAGGGAACATTGCGAAACTGCATTTTGTAGAAATTTAACTTCTGGGGGGCTGTAGGAGGAAAAGGTGGAGAGGCTCTCCGGCAGGTGAGGAGGGTTAAAACAACCCTCCCCAAATAGAAGGGGCACAGAGGCTGCCAGATTGCCCCTGCATTTACCCCAAGCCTCTCCCTCCCGTCGCTGTTACCACCTGCAGTGTCCGTCCAGGACCCCCCCCCAGCACCCCCCAGGCTGACCTCCTACCTGCTCAAGGGAGGCTCATCCTCCTCCTTCTCCTCCTGGCCCCTGGGGCTCCCTGCTCCACTGAGCCGAGCGGAGCTGAGCAGAAGGAGCACATGATGGGCTTCCTCCTTCCCACCACAGATCTGCCACATCTGTCAGCTTGCAGATGTCACACCCTGCCTTCCCGGGGGGCGTGGCGGACAGGGAAAGGTTGCAGCCTTTGGGGCTCTTTGGCTTGGAGTAGAGGCAGGAGGTTAGAAAGCGATGCATGGCCCGGAGGCAGCGGAGAGGGAGAAGTTCCCTTCCCTCTCCCCTAACATTCAATGGAAGCTGAATGCGGGAATATTCAGGGCAGCGCATGAATCGACTATGGAACTCCCTGCCACAGGCTTCCAAAGGGGGTTAGACAAATTCATGGAGGATGAGACTGTACGTGGCTACTGGCCACACTGGGTAGTAGTCCGTTGGAGGCAGAGATGGTTCAGAATACTGCTTCTTGGAAACCACAGGAGGGGAGAGTTGCTCCTGTGCTCGAATGCTGAGCTTGCAGGTTTCCCACAAGCAACTGCTCATTCAGCCATTGTGAGAACAGGGTGCTGGACTAGATGGGCCATTGGCCTGATCCAGCAGGGCTCTGATGATGGTCTTAGGCATGCCTTCTTCTTTCCTTTGTAGTCGAGTAAGATGGTCTTCCATAAACACAGTTTTAACGATGAGTCCGTGACTGTGGAGGCCAATTCTGGATCCACACGTCCTTCCACAGTGGGGACATGGGTTTCCGGGTGGGAGTTGATCATGGTGTGGATTTGCAGCAGAAGACACAACAGCACCAGGGCAGTGGCCACGCTCCAGCCCTGCCTTAGCAGTAAACACCTCCCTGGTGGGTCACCCTTGCAGGGAGGGCATTTATGGCCCAGAGGCACTCCACAGAGCTCGCAAGAGGACGCCTGCTTGCACGAGCCCTGGGTTGCCCTCTGGTCCCGAGTTTGTCCGTGACGCAGCTCCCCACCCCTCTTCCTGCGGCCTCAGACAGAGGGGGGTCTGTTTGGCACAAAGGCTTTCCAGAGCTCCACAGCCTCAGGAAAATCAGGGTGGAGTGAAAAGGATGGAGTCTCTGGCAGAGCAGAGAGCATCACTGGGTCCTGCTAACCAGTTCGGTGCTGGGTGTTCCTTTTTTTAAAAAAATAAGATGGTATTAAAACTTTTCCTAGTACATTAGACTCATCATCACCATCAACATCATCTAAACACAGTGGAAAGAATGCAAAGTCCTCTTTCACAGGTAGATCTTGTCCCACACAGTGAAAGGTGATCCCTTCTGGCTCTCATCTGGGACATCTTCCTTTCCCTGTTGCAGGAATTTATGTATAGGTTGGGGGGGGCAGGTTGCCCCTCCAGCAGATATCATGCACATGCAGCCCACTACCAAAATCAGCACAATCACTTTTGTGATTTGTCCCCACAAAACACTTCATCGCAGTTTCTTCCTATCTGTTCAAAGGGCCTTTGCTGCACGATACCAAATGTAAGAATTCACTGATCAATGTATCTGTGTACTGGCTCACTGGGAAAACTTCAGAAATTCCTATAGACCTGTGAGCTCAGCTCCTCAGCAGCCCCTCTGCCTGAGGGATAATCCCTGGCATCCTGATACCTGAGTGCCAGACAGGTAGCCATTCCAGAAAGAACAAACCCAGATGGAGACAAAAGGGTGTGATTAACCTGGCTGGGAAACAGGGAAATGTGAATATCTCTTTTGTTCCACTTGATGGGTGTTTGGTGGAGGGCAAGGGGAACCATGGGGCAGGGTCCAGGATGCTCAGATTCCTGCCACCAGACCTCCCCTTTCATGACGTAACCATGATGTATTAATGATGTAGTTTGGGGGGTGTAACATGGGGATTAGCAGCTAATAAAAGTTTGGGGGATCTTTTGTTCAGGGCTTCCACCTGGTGGCTGGTAGGAGTCCTGTTGCGACCGTCTTCAATAAAGACCAAGCCTACTAGCTGCTGTTTTGCTCTGGGATTCCTGGCTGGTGTCCTTGTTTTTTGTCCAAGGGAGCCCTCAGATTTCTCCGTTAACACCTTCATCAGGTGCTGAACATTCCCCTGGCAGGAAAATTGGGAAAATGCTGCTCCGGAGTGTTTGCCCTGTGCTCTTAAAGTTTAGGGACTGCAAATCTGTGGCAGATGATGGGATGGTACCGCTAACTGTGGTGGCTTGCAGCCAGAGTCCGCAACGGAGGAAGGACAGAAGGGCTGTCCTGGCAGACTGGGGAAGTTCAGCTGCTCTCAATTGCAGCGGCCAAATCACTGGCTGGGATGCTTTCAGAACTCCCATTAACGCCCCCCCCCTCTCCAAAACAGCTCCACTGGCTACCAGTTTGTTTCTGGGCCCAGTTCAAGGGGCTTGTGCTTAAAGCCCTAAATGACTCGGGCCCCAAATACCTAAAGAGCTGCCTCCTTCAGACACTTTTGGGTACAGTGGTGCCTCGCAAGACGAAATTAATTCATTCTGCGAGTTTTGTCGTCTTGCGATTTTTTTCGTCTTGCGAAGCACGGTGTCGGAAAAGTTTTGGAAAAGCTTCAAAAACCTCAAAAAGCTTTAAAAACCTCAAAAAAGGCTACCACACCGCGTGCTATGAGTTGCTCCTCGAAGTCAAGTCGCAACTGTATTAACGGTGTTAAGAAAAAGGAAACAAACTTGCAAGACGTTTCCGTCTTGCGAAGCAAGCCCACAGGGAAAATCGTCTTGCGAAGCAGCTCAAAAAACAAAAAACCCTTTCGTCTAGCAGGTTTTTTGTCTTGCGAGGCATTCGTCTTGCGAGGTACCACTGTATTAGAAATCAGAATAAGGGGCTGTCTTGACAGTTCCACCTCCCACAGAAGTCCGGGGTGGTGGCAGCCTAAGAGGGCCTTCTCTGTGGCAGCCCCCAAGTTGTGGAAGTCCCTCCCCAGAGAGATGCGTCAATATATAGTTTTGGCAAATGCTGAAGACCACCTATCTGCCCTGAGATGTGTATTCTCCATTTTATGTGGGACATGATGAATTGATGACAACCCAGCAGGTAAAGTCTGACTCTGATTCATTTTATTCATTTAAAATGTATTACTCATTTAGGCAATTTATACTTTCTTTGCAAAAGTTTTTACTCCATCAACATTAAGGGAAAAATATATTCCAGTAGTGTGCAGCATAAGAAAAACAGTAAAATTACATCCGTAAAAGAAGTGCATCACATACAAAATAGACATATAAGCTTCAGGTTTCCAAGATCTCTAAGTGCTTTAGAACATCCTAAAAATATCGCAAATAAAATACAAAAAAAAGGAGTAAAAATATATCTTGTCTTTGGTCCCCAGCCCCGCTCAAGCCAGCTTACAATGAACGAAACAATCAATTACAACAAGATAGCCATTTGGATGATCCTTGAAAGAACAATCGAGGTTCAGTGCTGCCCAGGGCTTGGCAACTGAAGGTTTAACGGATGCCTGAGAGAGTCACGTCCGTGACTGGCGGCTGCGTGTGCCTGGGGCCCGTCCACAGTGGCTTCCATCCAGCCAGAGGGGGAACCCAAGAAGGACCCCAGAAAAGGAACTGGCAGGGAGTGGGGGGGGCCCTTCCTGCATTTAAGGGCTTCCGGTTGAAATAAATAAATAAATAAGCCAGCACATTCAGTTGTGGCCAGAAGCCGGGGCGGATCTTCCAAGGACTGGCAAACAGTCACCAGGTTGAGAAGCCCCATTTAACGAACTGGCTGCTGGCGTTTTCTGAGCCAGGTGAACTTCCCAAACTGCTATGCTGGGCAGCCCCACAGAGGACCCGCCACAGCCACTGTCAGGCTGGCCAGGGCTTAAAAAGGTAAAGGGACCCCTGACCATTAGGTCCAGTCATAGCCGACTCTGGGGTTGCGGCGCTAGCCGACCAATACAGTTCAAGGCAGCAATCCTAAACCCTCTTTCCTGGGAGTAAGCCCCACCAAATGCAATAGGACTTACTTCCAAGAAGAGCATAGAGCATTGGTCTTGAAAAGTTTGCACCGGCTGCTCATTCACTACGGAGCCCAATTCAAGGTGCCGACCCTGATTTATACTGCTCTAAACGGCTTTGCACCAATCTATCGCAAGGAGTCCAGCCATATTCTTGGCCCTCTCATGAGATGATAACTACCAAGGAGGCCCTTTTGCCCTTCCCATCGCTTCCAGCTCTTCCCAAAGCTGGGAAAGTGCTAACTAGGCTCTGGGAAGGAGGTGTCAGGACACTCAGAGCCTCACGCCACCTTCCCAGAGCCCAGGACCTCTTACCCACCTAGGGGAGGCGGCACAAAGGCTGTAGGCGGGGGACAAAAAATGCCTCAAGGGCCGCATGTTGGTCTAGCCCCTCTAGTGTCACAGGGAAGTATGAAAAAAGACCAGCTCCTCCAGCTGAGACTTACATAGAACAGGTCTGGGGGGGGCGCACTTTCAGCAAATTCTAGTTCCCCACCCTGGGACCTTACTGCTCCCCCCCCCCGAGTCCCAGACCTTTCTTAGCTGTCCCTCTTGCTTCATCACAGTTATGCCCCTTTTCTCCCAAGGAGCTCCAGGTAGTGCGGATTCTTCTCCCCATTTTATCCTCACAACAACCCTGGAAGGAAGGCTAGGCTGAGAGGCAGGGACTGACTCCAAGGCCGCTCCGTAAGAGCTTCAGGGCTGAGCGGGGACAAGCTCCCAGGTCCAACACTCTTGCCACTACAAACCACCCCCAGTTTAGTGTAAAACCTCAACAGCAATTGTGCAGATTTTGCACAGAATGCAAGGTATGTAAAACGCCTCCAGGTTACCTAATTTATTTCTATTAGGGGGTGGGTGGGTGTTTTGTTTTAAAAAGCCAATGGAACTGTAGTGAGCCCATTATAAAAAATAAAAGTATTCCTGACTCCCCGCACTTGCTCCCTGAAGCCAGTCGCCAGTCACAGGGGGGTGCCCCTCCCTCTCCCCACTTCTGCAATGCAGCCTACCTCCCCCCATGGCAGCCAGTTGTCCCCTCTGAAGACACCATTCCCGAGAGGTTAAAGGGGCCTGGATCACCACTAGGGAGGAGTCAGTATGTGGGGGGGGGGGTGAAGTGCTCTGGTCCCAAGGGGGGGGTGCGAGAGGTTGGTTCTTAAGGCATGGTGGTTAAGGCCTCTGTGTCTGCAGCAGCACCCCTCCCTCCTAAGCACGTGGCCATGCAGCCCCTCCAAACCAGAAGCTGCTACCTGTTGCCCCAAGATGGCTCTAACTAACCCACGGAGAGCAGAGGAGAGAGAGGCTGCGACCAAGCAAGGTGGGCTGGGGGTCTGTGTGCTTTGCCCCTAAGCTTCTCTCCTCTGCCTGGGGGGCAAGAGCATGAGATGGTTCAACTGGCAGTGCTGGAGGGGAGCCAGGAAGAGCAGCCAGGACTGCGCCCCCCAAGTGCTGACAGCCCTGGAGAGGGGCGCCAGAGGGTGGCTCCTCAGAAGCATGGCCTCCTGCGGCTCCTCCTTGCCGGCACCGGCCGTCACGGCCTGCAGTTGTCCACACAGTCCTGCCCACTCGAGAAGAGCCTGTAGATGCTGGCGAGGGGGAACATGACGAGCGCGCCCAGCAGAGAGCCCGCCTGGATGATGGCGCCACACCAGACCAGGGCGGCGTGGCCGGCCTCGTGCAGCAAGCTGCCGATCACCACCTTCAGGTAGGAGAAGAGGCCCATGAAGAGGATCCAGGAGATCACCTGCCGAGAGAAGAAACCCTCAGCTGAAACAGAAACACCTGGACAGCTGGGGAGGGGAAGGCGGAGGACGCAGGGGGACTAAAAGGCTGTTGTGACTTGGGGATCGGAGCTCACCCTCGTTTTGGTGAACGGGGGGAGACTCGCCCTGGGGGCAACGCTGCTGCCACTGCAGCCTGACCTGGAAAAGGGCTTGTGGAAGAACGTGCAGGATCTGCTCCTGGCCAGAGGAAGGGCTCGGCAACCACAGCAGCAGCAGCTCCTCCTCCTTGGGGGAAGGACCAGCATCCTCGCTGCCTCCCCCTGTGCCCAGAGATCAACAGCTCAGCCATACTCACCACCAGCGCAACTCCTGCAGGGCTGCCCACCAGGGGAGGGCAGGGGCTGAGGGCCGCCAGCACCATCAGGTAGGCTCCAAACACACACCCCACGGCAGAGATGATGCCCAGACCCAGGGACGACCTGGCAAGAGGCAGAGAAGCAGGGAAGCACTTGAGATCTGGAGCTGATGCAGAGAAGATGGCTTGAACTCAAGCACCAAGTTACGCCCTCCCGTCTCCAGGCGTCTGTGGCGAAAGGGACACACGCTCCCGCCCCAGATTTTCCCCTGCAGTCAGGAGAAATCTCGCCAGAGCTTTTCCCCACTGAAACATTGGCCACATGCTGCCTCCTTGTGGTCCAGTGGGGCAGCATCGCCCTACAGAAACCTTCAGTTTTCGCAAGTTGTTCTAAGAGTTTTCCTCTAACTTGGAGCAATTCCCCCATTTCAGGGCCGAACTGCAGCCTTGGGCAGGTGGGCATTTGAAGCAGGATTGCAGGGCAGCCCCCCCCCATCACAGCCCCAAGCCATTCCTCATACCAGAGGTGGTGCAGCTCAAAGTGGGGAAATCTTGTGGGCCTTTTTCTCAACACAGAACTCTAGTCACGGTATAGCATGACCAGATAATACAGATAAGCAACTTCTAGCAGGAAGTGGTGTGTGTGTGTGTGTGTGTGAGAGAGAGAGAGAGAGGGAGAGAGAGAGAGAGAGAGAGAGAGGATCATTTGAACCAGGAAACTGTGTTGGGACTGTTGTTATAATTGGTCCATGTCTTGATCAGTGCCCCTGCAACATCTGGGTTAGTTCAGGGTTATCATGCCAGCTGCCCTGGGTGGCCAAGAAGCAGTCCAAGGCCAAAGGGCCTAAGCAGGTCTCCTCCTCTAAGGAATGTCCGTATGTGCAGAAGCCAAGGCTGCCTTCAGCAGCACTGGCAAGAGGGAGAGGGATTTGATCAGAAGAGGGGGATGAAGGGGACATGCTGTTTGGTTCAGAAGAGCTAGTGGATCTCTCTTGTATCTTCTAAGACCAGAAAAACTGCATGACAGTAAATTAGTTCACGATGTACCAGCACCTCTTAAAATGTAGCTAGGGTGTTTGTGCTTGTGCCATGAGACAAGGGATGAGAAACTGTTAGGATATTTCCGTTCCACCTTAAAAAGGGAGCAGGTTGTTGTGTCACAGCTTGCGTATTTCCTGTTCACAGGAAGTTTATGTTTTTGTATATAGCTGTTGTTTTCTCTCTCTGTGCCTGGACACGCAGACAGGCAGTCATGTTTTTCCTTTGTTCTGACCAACGCTGAATAAAGTTGTAAATAATGCTCTCCTGAGTGCATCTTTCGTTGTACGAACTCTGCTGAAAGAGCGTGCACCAGTCCTTGGAATGTGGGAGCTGTTTCTGAGGCTTGTGTCGCTAATTGACTGATACTGTTCTACGGTAGATTGACGGATCGTCCGGAATCAACGTGGAGGCATGATGGCCTTTGTCTCCCTGGCAGTATCCCAACAACAGGTTATGGGCCCAGCACGCTTCCGCTGCGCCCAGAGTGGCGCAGCGGAAGCGTGCTGGGCCCATAACCATAACCCTGCCTGATAGATGCCTGTTTTTGTGGGGAATGAAAGAGGCTGCTATTTTTGCTGGGTTCACAGCCAACAGCCCAGCGCCCCCACCCCAAGGGGAGCCCCCAGCCCAGCCTTTGCCCACCCACCTGCACAGCAGGAACATAGCGGTGAAGCAGGCCACGGGGTTGGCAATGTTGCTGAGCACCACGGAGAGGTGATAGGCCATGTTCCCGTAAGGCAAGCAGGAGTAGCTCTGCACGGAAGGCAGGACCCCATTGGTCAGGGCGTTGGAGACCCCCAGCAGCACCAGCAGGTAAATGTTTCTTGCAGTCCAGAAGGCGGAAGCTGGTTGCTTGGTGGGCTCTCCGGCTGCGGCATCCTCTGTGGCATGCTTGGAGGTGGGCACGCTCTCGGACTGCAGCGGGAAAGACTCCTCCGTCTTCACGCTGTCCTGGGAAGAGCTCTTCTCCTCTGCAGGGCCGCTGCGGCTGTGCCAGAGCACCAGAGCCGCAAAGGCCAGCGCGGAGACGACCAGCAGGGCCAGGAGCATCCAGAAGTACGTGGTGGCCGAGAAGTTCTCCTCCAGAAAGTGTGGCTGCGTTCCGTTGGTGCTGTTCCGGCACTCCAGCTGCCCCACGCCCTGGCCCAGGGCCAGCACGCAAGGGAGGAGGGCGCTGAGGCCCTGCCCAATGAAGAAGGTGCGGATGTACAGCTGGGGAAACTGGTACATGAAGGGCAGGAAGGAGACGTTGGAGGTGCAGCACACCAGGGCCAGCAGGAAGGCCAGCACCAGGAAGGCCAGGCTGTGGGGCTCACCGGCTACCACCACGATGCGGTCCCAGAAGAAGGCCAGGAAGAAGGCCGCCACCACGGCCAGGAGCTGGATGCCGTGGATCAGCCAGCGCTCCTTCAGCCGCCCGGGGGCGAAGTGGTGAGCCAGGGTCACGCTCACGGGGCCCACGTTGCCCAGGGCAATCAGGACGGTCAGGTAGGCAGGCAGGTTCCAGCCTGGGAAGAAGAAGCAGAAGCTCCATTAGGGGCTTTCTGGGCGGCTCAGAAACAAGGTGACTTTGGCTATTGCATCCTCTCTCTGCAGCTGAACTCTTGCTCTCCAGTCCTTCATCAACTGACACACTTCTTGCCTGCCTCCCCCCCCCAGCTAGAACTCTGCAGACACCCAACCATGGCCATTCAAGGAGGCAGAACAAGGCCAGGACATTTGTAGCGACACGTGGAGAAACGTTCTCCTTTTCTGCTGGAATTACAGAACGTCCCCCGACCCGGCCACGAAGGGACGAGCAAAGTAAGGGAGCAAGAAAGGCCTCCTTTGTCTCCCAGGCCCTGTGTCCCCCATGAGGGAGCAAGCGTGATGCCTCCACGCAGACGCCAGGCAGGGCAGCTTCTGCCCAGAACAAGGAGTTCTCACAAAGAAGGGCTTATCACAGGGAGCCTCCCTGCCTGACTTTGTTTTCTAAAGGAAAGCAGCATAATCCCCTCCCTTCCCCAGGCAAGGCGGCAAAGAACACTCCTTTCATTGCAATCACTGGGTTCAGCTTGCGAAGGAAGGAGGGGCCGCCGTGGAGACGTCTGAAGTCCCTCGGCCTCAGTACTCGCTCCCCAAGGACCAGGAAGCCAAGCGTCTCCCTGGAGCTCTTCAAGAGCCTGCTGGATGCGGTCAATGATCCACCGAGACCAGCATCCTGTTCTCACAGTGGCCAGTCAGGTGCCCCAAAGGGAAACCAGGAGCCGGGTGCAAGAGCAACTCTCCCTCCTGTGCTTTCCAGCCACTGGAGGCAGAGCAGAGCCACCCTTCGCCCTCTCCTCCGCAAGTTTGTCTCATTGTCTTCTAAAGCCATATCGGTTGGTGGCCCCCACTGCCTCCTGTGGGAGGGAGTTCCACAGGTTAATAAAGAAGTACTTTGATCTGTCCTCAATCATCCAACTATCAGCTTCTGTCAGATGCTGGTGGTGGTTGCTCTTGAGTAACCAGGCAGGCAGGACTCCGACCTGGCTCTTACAGGTTTCATTGTGCAAACTATTTACAGTGCAGATCTACCAAGTTCATGTCCCTCTCAGTCACTTGCAGAATCCGGGAGTGGCCCCTTCCGGCTTCTCCCCCAACGTAAGAACTTCGACACCCCAAACCTCCTCCTCCCCTCCTTGCGTTTCACCCCTCTGCGTAAGCTGGGCAACGGAAGTGGCGTGCGTTCCTCCTGGCCAGTCTGGCAAGGTGAGGCGCTGGGGCTCTCAGCAGCATCCTTGAGCCCTTTCCTCGCCTGGCTGGCCCCTTCCCTCTCTTCCCCACTGGAGGTGTGGCTTTTCCCACCGCTGGAAGAAGAACTGCTCCTCAGGAGTTTCGGAGGCTCTCTGTATCCCAACGGCCCCCCTGCCTCCCTCCCCGGTTCTGATGGCAGTCCCCTGACAGCTTCCTTGGATGCCCACGAGTTACAGCGTTACGTGAGAGAGGGAGGAAACCCTTTCTCTATCCACTTTCTCCATGCATGCATAGTTTTATAAGCTTCTATCGTCTTGTCTCTTACACACACTGTGTCTGCATGTCCTTAAGAGGAGAAACCTGTCCCAAGTCTTATGGCTTGCATGGAGGCAGCCTTGGAGAGGGGCCAGCCCCTCACTCTGGACTTTTCAGAAACATGGCAACAGCAGTGAGGTGGCATCTGCAAGTGAGGTGCAAAGTGAGAAGCTGGCTACTCTTCCACAGGGGGAGGGAAGGCACCTGGAACGTCCGTTTCCAGGTCCAGCTAAAGTGGGTGGGGCCTTGCCATATGCTTCCAGAGCCCAGCAAGGGCTGCAGCCTGTGGAGTCTCCCCAGCCAGGAGAGAGAGGTGGCATTGTCCGGGCACACCCTTCCAGGCCCTCCTTCTTTGTCCTGCCCCTCAAGAGCTTGGCTGACCCCTCTCGCCCCTTCCTGCCTCTCCACAGCAGCCGCTTCCTTCCCGCTGCAGCCAAGGCTCCTTCCCTCCCAGCCCCTGCTCCTCACCTTCTGGCAGCAGTTTCACCACGACGGGGAGCTCCACCCACAGGGAGTTCACGGAGACCCAGGAGCCCATCCCAAAGAGGGCCACGAGGACGTGGGAGGCCACAGTCTGGCCGCTCAGCGAGGCCGACATCCTCTTTGCCTGGGGAGAGAGAGGGAGGGAGGATGGACGACTCAGTGGGATCCTCACCTTCGCCTGCAAAGGAACCCAAACTGCCCACCTGCACCCCCTGTATGCCACCCCGGCCTCGCTGGTCCCTCCCCTCCTTCTGTTCTCTCCTCACTGGCGAACACTAGAGCAGCCACCCCAAGAGGGATATATTGGAGCAGAACTACCACAGGAGGGCAGGTTCTGGTAACCTCTTGGCCAGACGACTGCAACACGCCCCGGAAGATGACCCGCAAGCGGCAGGCGGTGCAAGATGTGGCAGCCAAGATGCTGACAGGTGCCATATAGGGGGCTCATAGGTCCCTGATCTTTAAGGATCTGCAGTGGCTGTTTGCTACCAGCGCCAATTAAAGGTGTTGATGCTGGAGTTTAAAGGCCAGTATGGTGGACTGGGACAGAGTGTCTCTCCTCTAATCTGCTGACCTTCATGCCTTCAGGTCTGCAGCAGTGACCAACCAATATAGTTTCGCAGTTAAGAGCCCGGAGAAGGGCCTCCATGGCCATGGAACCCAGGGGTGGCGTTTCCGCCTTGTTGTTTTTGGAGTCAGCAAATGACGTACCTTCCCTTCCTGGCATTTGGGGAAGGCTGAGCTGAAGAACTGCTCTCTTCTAATGCAAGACTGATTATTATTATTATTATTATTGGCATACAACCCTATACCCGCAGGTCTCAGGGCGGTTCACAAGATCCATTAAATATGTCATACTTTAAGCTTTAGTTTTTTGTTTTTAAAAAGAAAGTAATTCTGCTGTGTACTGCCCCGCAAGACCTGAGGTTGAAGGGCAGGTTATTAGAAGAGGAGTTTGGATTTGATACCCCGCTTTATCACTACCTGAAGGAGTCTCAAAGCGGCTAACATTCTCCTTTTCCCTTCCTCCCCCACAACAAACACTGTGTGAGGTGAGTGGGGCTGAGAGACTTCAGAGAAGTGGGACTGGCCCAAGGTCACCCAGCAGCTGCATGTGGAGGAGTGGAGACGCAAACCCGGTTCCCCAGATTATGAGTCTATCGCTCTTAACCACTACACCACACTGGCTCTGGCTATAAATGGAATGACTAAATCTGGTAGCCTCAGCCAGGCTGGCAGGGGCTGAAGGGAGCTGCGGTGAAAACATTTGCAGGGCATCAGACTGGGGAAGGAAGATTTAGGCAGCGTTTCTCAAACTTGGGTCTCTAGCTGTTGGACTACAACTCCCATCATGCCTCACTAGCATGACCATTGGTTGGCCATGATGGGAGTTGTAGTCCAACAACAGCTGGAGACCCAAGTTAGAGAAGCACTGATTTAGAGTGCAAGCTCCTTGGGGCAGAGCCTCCCTCCCTCCAAGCACACAGCTTTACGCTGCAGTGAAGCACCATGGGGCAGAGATGGCACTGTGTGAATCCCTCCTGCCTGCTTGCACATGGGATACTCAGAGGCCTGCAGAATGCCTGGCAGGGCACACTATGCCCTGCTTCAGGAATCACATGCAAGCCTGCTCCGTGGGGACAACTGAGTTTTGGAACCTAGAGGAATGGAAAGTCCAGAGCAACGCAGCTTTTACCTTGAGGGAAGACAGCCAGTCCAGGAATCTGAAGCAGGGCTGTATCTTGCAGCATAAGCAATGCCAGGAGACTTTATGGGACGACACTAGCCATCCCTAGAGGGAAAGGGGGAGGAAATGAACCTCTATTTAATCAGATGCCCAACGCGCAGATGATGAGAGGAAGCCTTTTTAAGCAGAGCCAGACCCTTGGCCTATCTAGTCTGAGAACATCCAGTTTGGCAGTGGCCCTACCAGGGCTGAGAACGGGCAGAGAGACTTCGGCAGCGCCTCCTCTCCTCTCCAACCCATTTTTAAACTGGGGGCTGAATGTGGTGCTTGCTGCATGCAGGAAGGATCCCCAAGTTTCTGCACCCAAAATAAATCAAGCAAAGAAATGCAATTTAGACAAGAATTCCCGCTTGCCTGCGGCTGCACTCTGAATCCAACATGAAGAGGTGGCGGCAGTTGTTTGAAAGAGCAGAAGGCCACAACCAGAGTGATACTATAAAAACTCAGGGAGCCAAGATCTCCCTCCTTATCTGAGATTTCCCAGCAAGCAAAACACACAATCAATACAAAACGAAGTAATCAGTATAAGACAATATAACACATTCTCTACAGAAACCAAGCAAAACCACTGGAAACAAAAACCAGCTTCCAGTTAGTACTTCTGTCTTTCCAAATATGTTGCTGCATGTACATCTCCTAAAAAGTAAAAAGGTAAAGGTACCCCTGCCCGTACAGGCCAGTCGTGTCCGACTCTAGGGTTGTGCGCCCATCTCACTCCAGAGGCCGGGGGCCAGCGCTGTCCGCAGACACTTCCGGGTCACGTGGCCAGCGTGACAAGCTGCATCTGGTGAGCCAGCGCAGCACACGGAACGCCGTTTACCTTCCCGCCGGTAAGCGGTCCCTACTTATCTACTTGCACCCGGGGTGCTTTCGAACTGCTAGGTTGGCAGGCGCTGGGACCGAACTATGGGAGCGCACCCCGCCGCAGGGATTCAAACCGCCGACCTTTCGATCGGCAAGTCCTAGGCGCTGAGGTTTTACCCACTGCGCCACCTGCGTCCGTCATACATCTCTTACCTTATTATTATTATCAAACAAAAGATGATGTGCTGGGAATCAGCTTCTGTGTAGAAAGAATCACAGACCAGCAGTTAGTGGCTCTCTCTTTCGTGTCCTTCCGTGGTCAGTGTGGGGGAAGATGGAGATGGCCACCAGGGCATGAGGCTGCATGGACAGAGTAAGGAGGGGTCCGAGTCAGAGGACTGCTCTGAACTGCTGAGTCAGCTCTTGAAGGAGAAAAGCCGCTCAGTGGCTGCCTGGGAGAGGAGCAGCCGAGCCCTTTGTGCCCACGAGAAAGGGCTCCTGTCCTTTGCTGCCTGGCTGGTCTGACCAGTTGGGTCACCCACGGCAATGAGCTGCTCCAAGGCCTCCAGTGAGTCGAAAGAGGCAGGCGGAACATAGGAAGCTGCAGTCTGTCTGGCTCAGTTATCTTGCCTACGCTGACTGGAAGCCATGGCTCTCCAGGATTCCAGGCTCGGCTCTCTTGGTCCTCCCTAGAGATACCACTGGGATTTGAAACTGGGGCCTTCTGCATGCGAGGCAGAGATGCTCTGGCGCTGAGCTATGGCCCTTTCCCATCCGGATGGTGCCCTCATTTGTTGTTTGGTGCACCATCTTGGTTTCTGGTTTTGATGTGTCCTCTTCCTCCAGTGAATTGCAATCCTGTGCGCCTCTCCCACTCTCTGCCTTTCAGACACACACTCACACAAGTTTCCCCCTTGAATAATATTTAAAAAATAAGAACTGAGAAGGACGCGGGTGGCGCTGTGGGTTAAACCACAGAGCCTAGGACTTGCCAATCAGAAGGTCGGTGGTTTGAATCCACACAACGGAGTGAGCTCCCGTTGTTCAGTCCCAGCTCCTGCCAACCTAGCAGTTTGAAAGCACGTCAAAGTGCAAGTAGATAAATAGGTACCGCTCTGGCGGGAAGGTAAACAGCGTTTCCGTGCGCTGCTCTGGTTCGCCAGAAGCGGCTTAGTCATGCTGGCCACATGACCCGGAAGTTGTACACCGGCTCCCTCAGCCAACAGAGCGAGATGAGCACCGCAACCCCAGAGTCGATCACGACTGGACCTAATGGTCAGGGGTCCCTTAAGAACTGAGAAGGTGGCTTCATTTTTTCTATAAAGTTGTAGTGATCAAACACCCTGCATTTAATAACAGGCGTGAAAAATTCATAGCTGAGAAGTTCCAAAAGCCTCTGCTGATTTTAAGCTAAGGCTCTGCACGGAAATGCAGCACAAAACAGGAATCTTTCCTGCCCACTGACACCCTGCTTTGCCACCCCAATAAAACCTTACCTTTGAGGAGGGTGTGTAATCAGCAATGAAGAGACAAGAGAGGCGTTTCTTGACTTTCCTTATCTAGAAGTGATGCTCCTAAGCATCATTTTCTGACAAGGAGCATGAAATTGTAAGTTCTCTGCCAAGGAGCATGAGACTGCAGATTTCTCTGCAAGTCTATTCCATGCAACTGACTTGCAGCTAATGATCTCTTATGTATTTTGTATTTACTTACATAAGTGGAAATCATTAAGGGTGCCTTACTTGGAAATATAACAGGCAGAGCAGTGGTTGTAGTGAACTTTACTTCTGAAATATGGCCCTTAATGGTGTAACAAACGAAAGGGTAGCTGCAATTCCCCTTAACTACATGCACAGGCATCACTACAGGACATGCTAACATGCAATGACATGATGCACAATTAAGTTCAAACCCTCTGGGTTAGCCTTGTAAATAAGCTCACAAACCTTACTAGCCTGATTCTTTTATTCACTAGACTGCTTGTGGCTGGCAGAGGAGGAACACAGATAATAATAATTATTGTTCCTACCCCGCTAGGTTTCCCCAGGCACTCTGGGCGGCTTTCAACAGAACATTAAAAACAGAACAAAACTTCAAGCATTAAAAACTTCCCTAAAGAGAGCGCTGCATTTTGATGCTGGGTTTTCCTCCAACAACAACCTGCCGGGTTTCTAGCCAGAGGAAGGGCAGGTAGTTCCTTTCCTCCTCCATTTACTTGTCTGCATCCAATTCCTGGCTTCCGGGCTTCTGCTTAAAGACAAGGCGGCTGTAGGATTTGCCTAACCTCTGAGCGCAGGCATTAGGAACCTGATCTGACCTGTGATTAAGAATTCAAGCACGGTGATTATCACAAGGCTTGCAAAGAGCCCTGCTTGATGCTTTGAAAAGCCTCTGACCCGGTGGGCTTGAAGGCGCCACTATCAGCTGATGGGCTTCCAGGCTGCTTTGTGCAGTGACTGGCTGTGCAATCACGGGGAACTTGATGAATGTTGTGGGAAGGGTGGTCATGCTTTGGGGGAAACAGTCTCGGGGGACAAACTGGGACCCACGTGAGACCATACTTGGCCCGGGGGCTGGAGGTTCCCCACCCCTGTTGGATGACGTACTTCTGAATGAGTAAAAGACAGACAGACTAAACGGCGGGAAAGAAAGCAAGTGTGGATCTGAGTTTATATCACTTTGCCATGCACTCAGTATTCGATTTGATCTTAAAGGCCTGTGGCATCCTGAGTTCTGTCCTTAATGCCAGGAGGTTCCAGTTCTGTCTGCCAGAAAAGGCTATAGGATGCTGCAACTGGAGTTTCTCCTGCGCCGGCAGCCCTCTCCCCCAGCGTTCAGTGCGTACATGGAGAGGGAGGAACAGGACTAGGCATCCCCACTGGCTATAGCTTCAGACTTTTGCATGCAAAGTGGGAAGGTCTGAAAAGGGAAGTTCTTGCATCAGAAATCCACCAGGGTTTCTGATGACATGGGAGGAGGGCAAGCTGAACCTGCAGAGATCATCGCTTCAGATCTCCTTTCTGTATGTGCAAAGGTTGGAGGTGGAGTTGGTTGAGATGGGGGTAGGACTTGTGCATGCGGCCTCGCTCCTCCCTCCACACGTTCCGAGAACATGTCAAGGCAAATGCTCCTACTCTCTGAATAAACTATGTTCCCTTCAGCCGAGGAGACGGGTTGCTAAAGAGAGACCGTTCCACCTGTTCTTGCAAAAGCAACGGTCGCAAAAGAACCAAAATGTTCCCCTCAGTTTCCCCCCACTTGACTAAGAAAAATCCCCTCTGAACTTTACAAAAATGCACGCTGGGACGTTAATGCCACCACCACCCCCATGTTGGCACAGGCCAATGTAATTCCCCTCCATTTTCCATGATTGTTTACCGTTCCAGAACCACCACCTGTTCCCTGCCTAATCACCGCAGTGCTCTCCAAGTGATGTGTACCAGGCAGTGTTAGAAACGGAGACAGAAAGCCAGGAGCTAAGGGCACCTTAAACCAAGGTTAAGGACACCACAACGGAATGTCTGGGCGTGCATTTTCATAACAAGAATACAAAGCTGAAAATCAACGAACTGCAGCTAAAATATTGTGTTCATTTTTCACATGGTCTGGTCATTCCTCTGCCCGCCCCCCTAATATTCCTAAGAGGGTCTCTTCTCCAGTCTTCAGAGAGGAGCTGGAAGTGGGGAGGCAGAAAAGGTCCTCCTTTCCTTCCACTCTGCAGTTTTACTCTAAAATCTTAGGCACAGGACTGCACCCAGAGCTCAGAAACTGCTTGCGCTAATGAAATTCCCTGTCGCAAAATGCGCCTAGAACAATGGGAGTTTCGGGCCCTGGTACGAGGCACCTGGATTTGCAGATGAAAGCAGAGGAGGACCTTGGCCCCTTGTGCAGGAATAGCTGATGCTCCAGCACCGCTTCCCTTCACCAAAACAAGTTTGCCTTAGAAGGGAAAATGGCAGGCAGGCTGCCTCGTCTGCCATGGAGCAAGTTGCATCCTGCCTGAAAGGAACAGAGATTGGGAGTAAGTCCAATTCCAGAATGGCACCACAAACATCTGCTCTCCCTGACAAAATCCAGCCTCAACAGGCAAGAAGCTGCCTCCACCCCCACGGCACTTTTTAAATTTATTTCTGCACATTCTAGGGATGGGCCTCACCTGCAGAAATAAGTTGCACAACGCTCTCTTGCGTTCCTGCCTGAAACATTCCCAACTGCCAACGTCGAGGGAGGCAGAAAGTGAAGAAACAAAATAAAAAAATTCCTTACAGTAGCACCTTAGAGACCAACTAAGTTTGTTCTTGGTATGAGCTTTCGTGTGCATGCACACTTCTTCAGACACGCTGAAACAGAAGTCTCCAGACCCTTATATATAGTGAGAGGGTGGGGAGGGGGATTACTCAGAAGGGGGGTGGGAATGGATGGTTGGCTGATAGGTATGGTAAACCTGTTGACGACTTCTGTTTCAGTGTCTCTGAAGATGTGTGTGCATGCAAACGAAAGCTCATACCAATAACAAACTTAGCTGGTCTCTAAGGTGCTACTGGAAGGAATTTTTTTATTTTGTTTAGACTACAGCAGACCACCACGGCTACCTACCTGTAGCTAGAAAGAGAAGAGGCACAGAAACCTTACCTTCCACCAGTCTCAGGCGCAAACCCCTCTGGGAGACTACAGAGGGGGACGTAAAGTTCAAGCGATGTCACAGCAACACCGGCTAACTTCTCCCGGGTCAAGGAACCTAGAAGCACAGAGCCTATCAGCAGCAGAATCAAAAGCCAGCATGTGCTGCTGGAATGAAAGTGGTGACCAGAGTCGAATTCCTGCTCAGTTTGATGGCCTTGGACAGGTCCCTGTCTCCTTCTGCACAAACAGTGGTCCTGCCGGTGTTGTTGGACTCCAACTCCCATCTGCCACAGCTAGAACTGTCCACGGTCAGAGCAGGTAGGAGTTGGAGCATATCAATACCAGGAGGGCCACATATGTTCCTTATACTTGCCTTAAGAATAAGGCTAAGATACAAATGTGAGACGTAAGACCAAAAGGGTAACTCACTCTTTCAATGCATGTCCTTCTTCCCCCGCACTCTCCTCCAGCCAAATCTTCATTGTGGGGTGCTACAAAACAGAGGAGTTCTCATCAATCTCTCCAGAGTCTCTTAATGCCCCCCTGCAATTCTTACTTGCTACCTCCACCAAGCCATTAAGCTAATTTCTCTAATATCCTCAGCACCTGAACCGGGACATCCCTGCTCCCATCAGCCTTTCTCTGAACCAGGCAGCTGCAAGCTCCCCAGTAGAACAACAGCAGCAGCAGCAGCAGCAGACTTTGCTCCTCATCCCTTAAGTTACTCATTGCCCTTTACAACTCCAAGTGAGAACTTTATCAAGAGCTTCCAAACAGGAAACGGAGTAAGTCTGCTGCATCAAAGGCAAAGAATCTTTCTACACTTTAAGAGGCACAACACAATGGATGAAAGAAAAGGGCCTTCCATGATATAGCACCTGGGCAAAGAATAGGAAGCAGATGGTTGGAGTAAACAGACAGGTCCCACAATGGAGGGAAATGAGAAGCTGAGCCTCTAGTCCAGAGGACTTGTGCTTTTGAACTTGTATGTAACTTATCTGGAGCCAGGAGTGAGCAGCAGAGTGACCTAGTCTGCAGAGAACAACAAATTATTCAGGATGGCAAAAGGCCAAGTGGCCTTCAGAGAGCTCCAAAAGCCCCTCTCCAAAGTGGGTGAATGGGCATTACAAGGGCAAACACCCCCCCAACCCCTTCGTGTACACAGTCCTGGGGTCTGAACAGGCAGTGACTGACCAGGAAAGAGATGGGTAACTCAATGAAAATGTCAAATTAATCTGCAATAGCTCAGGGTGAGGGAGAAGGAAGATTCTGTGCTCGGTGTTATCAGGAAAGGTACCGAAAACATGACGGTCAGAATCTTGGCTTTACACAAATCTACGGTGCGACCACACTGGGAATAATGTGCACAGTTCTGGTCACATCTCAAAAAACGAATTGTAGGTGCAGAAAAGGGCAGCCAGTGTGACCAGGGGCAAAGAACACCTTCCCTCCTAGGAAAGATTAAAGCGCTTGGCATGTTAGTTTAGAAAGGGGGAAAAAGATGAAGGAAAGCCATGATTGCTTAGAAAATTATGCATAGTGTAAAGAGACAGGTTTCCCCCCCTCTCTCATAATTTTTGAATTCGGGCCAGCAAAATTGATTTCAGAGCAGACAAAACCCAGAATTAAGTTACGGAACTCAGTGCCCTGCGAAGAGGCAATGGCTACAGGCTTAGGCAGCTTTGAAAGGGGATTAGGCAAATTCACGGAGGGTGACAGAACTATTACTGGCCATAGAGGAAACTGTACCCACTGAATAGCCATGACTGTGCTGTCAGGTGGGGAAAACAAACAGCCATTATTATCAATAATAATAATTATACTCATTACATGTCTGCCCTGCCTGTGGCCTTCCCAGAAGCGTTTGGCCGGGTCCCTGAGGGACAAAGGCGCTGCACCAGGCAGACTTTGCCTCTGATCAGGCCTCCCTCCCCAAGGAACTTTCCAGGGCGCCTGTCCCCGGCCTGACCCCGCGGGCTTCCTCCCGGAGGGCAGGACTCGAACCCGGGGCTTCAGGGCGGCAAGGAAGGAGATGGGGGGGCCTCGACCCCGGGAAGCCCTTTCTGGGGGCCGGAGGGCTCTCCCGACCTGGAGGGAGGTGCCCCTTCGCTGGATGACCTCGAGGGGTCCCGGCCTCTCCTCGCCCCCCCCCCCGGAGTCCAAGTCCCACCCCGAGGGAAGGTCGGCCTCGGGGCGCCGGAGGAGGGGGGGTTGCGGGGAGACCCCGAGGAGCGGCTGAAGGGGGCGGGGGGCGAGCAGGCGCCGTTTGCCCGGGAAGACCCCCCCTCCCCGCGCTCCCGGGCGACTCACGTGCTGCCGGCGGCGTTGGCGGCGACCGGGACGCAGCCTGGCCGCGAGGAGGACGGCCTGCAGGCCCCGCCCTCCGCCGGAAGCCCCGCCCCTTCCTCCCGGGAGCCCCGCCCCCCGACTAGGCCCCCGCCCCGGCTGAGGGGACGCGGCGGAAGCCCCGCAGGCCAGGTAAGCGCGCGGCGGGCCTCCGCTCGGCCCCTCTCCCGGCATCCCCCGCGCCACCCCACCCCCGCCGCCTTCCCAGGCTCCTCCGCGCGCGCCTGGCCGGGCAGAGCGGCCGCCTTCCCACAATGCCCCGCGGCGCCTGGGTCGCTCCCCTCCCTCTCCCCCCCCCTCAGGAGCAGCCCAGCCCCTCCGCGGCTCTTCCCAGCAGCCCCTGCGCCCGGGCTGCCTTCCCACAATGCCCCGCGGCGCCCTGGACCAGGGAGCCAAGGGAGCAGCTCCTCCTTCCCAGAGTCCTCCGGGCTCCCTTGGTCCATCTCTGAGGGGCTGCCCTTTCCCCCTTAGGGGGTGTCCAAGAGGCCCTAGAGAGTCCTTACGTAGATTCCCTATCGGTAGGAGAAAAGAACAGAGACCAACCAGAGAATACAGTGGTCAGTGGCGTAGCGTGGGGGGTGCAGGGGGGGCCGGCCGCACCGGGCGCAACATCTGGGGTTAGGGCAAATCCACGGGTTAGGGGGCGCAAATCCACAGGTTAGGGGGCGCAAATCCACGGGTTAGGGGCGCAAATCCACAGGTTAGGGGACGCAAATCCACGGGTTAGGGGGCGCAAATTACTTGCCTTGCCCCGGGGTGCTGACAACCCACGCTACGCCGCTGACAGTGGTACCTCAGCTTACATAGGAGATAAATAAGTGTTACTGGAAAGAATTTTTTTTGTTTTTTCAAATTTCTGTTTTAGACCACCTTTTCTGTGATGTAGGTGTGATGTATCTGAGGGGTGGTCTTAGGTTACACCCCTGTATGTATGATGTTTCTGGGGGTAGTCTTGATCTACAGGGTGGCAATTTCAAAAGTTATAAGGCCTTGCGTGCCATTGTTCAGGGTCCTCCTCCTTTCCTGCGTGTAAGGGGAGTTGCAGCAGATCAATAAAGATCAAGCTTACTAGCTGCTTTGCTTCTCAATATTCTCTGGTTGGCCTCTGTTATTTTCTCCTACCAATAGGGAACCTATGTAAGGACTCTGTATGGGCTCTTGGATACCCCATAAGGGAAAGGGGCAATTTTTGTTTACAACACAGGTTACAGACTCGGCTAACCCAGAAATAGTACCTCGGGTTAAGAACTTTGCTTCAGGATGAGAACAGAAATCGGGCTCCGGCGGCGCAGCGGCAGCAGGAGGCCCCATTAGCTAAAGTGGTCCTTCAGGTTAAGAACAGTTTCAGGTTAAGAACGGACCTCCGGAACGAATCAAGTTCCTAACCCGAGGTACCACTGTATTGAGAAGCAAAGCAGCTAGTAAGCCTGATCTTTATTGATTGTTGCAACAGGGTGCTCCCCTCACACGCAGGAAACAAGAACCCAGAACAAAGGTGTGCCTGCCCTTCTCTAGACATTTTAAATTCCCTGCCCTGGAGCTCAAGACCACCCCCCACAAACATCATACATACATCACAGAAGAGGTGGTCTACAGCAGAAATTTGAATGTTGTTTTTCCTGTCTGCCAGGTTATCTGATAATGCCTTATCTGATTGCCTTTCCTGGTAGTCTGCCCACTCCTTTGAGATGGTGATTACCCAATTCCTGAGACAATGGGAAGGTTCCCTCACCCCCTCCCTCCTTGCAGAGAAAACATTTGGTCAGTTTGGGAGTCAAAATGGTTTCAGGAAGGTCTCCCTGTGCTGCTCCAGACATTGGTACATTTATGAACATTTATTATATATATAGGGACGCGGGTGGCGCTGTGGGTAAAAGCCTCAGCGCCTAGGGCTTGCCGATCGAAAGGTCGGCGGTTCGAATCCCTGCGGCAGGGTGCGCTCCCGTCGTTCGGTCCCAGCGCCTGCCAACCTAGCAGTTCGAAAGCACCCCCGGGTGCAAGTAGATAAATAGGGACTGCTTACTAGCGGGAAGGTAAACGGCGTTTCCGTGTGCGGCTCTGGCTCGCCAGAGCAGCGATGTCACGCTGGCCACGTGACCCGGAAGTGTCTCCGGACAGCGCTGGCCCCCGGCCTCTTGAGTGAGATGGGCGCACAACCCCAGAGTCTGTCAAGACTGGCCCGTACGGGCAGGGGTACCTTTACCTTTACCTTATATATATATATGACCTTAAAATTCTTATAACAGGGCCAAACTCCCCAGCACCTGGCTCCGTTGGCAGCTGTGATTTCCCCAGCCAAAGCAAGAAGAGGCTGAGCGTTGATGGCAGGAGTGGAGGGACAGGGCTTGGATGAGGCAGTGCCTGGGCACCAGGGGACGAAGAAGAGGGTACTTGAGCTGCTCTCTCATGCCCTGTAGGCATTTATTATTATTATTATTATTATTATTATTATTATTATTATTATTATTATTATTTATACCCTGCCCATCTGGCTGAGTTTCCCCAGCCACTCCATTGGCATTCGGCAGGAAAGGGGGCTCTGGAAGACGGCTCCAGCCCGCTGGTGCCCTGGCAGCAGGAAGCCTGTAATCCTCAGTGGTTCAGGTGTGGCCATAATAAAGAAGGGGGTGGCTTCTTGCTCTAGGCAAGGCTGGTCAGAGTCAGACCTTAGACTTCCTTGAATGTAGAGAAGATTCTAGTTGCAAATAGGAGCTGTGAGGTGGAAGGCCCCAGCTCAGCTGAGCCATAATCTCACAATGTGGCCTTAAGCAACTGCCATGGACACGTGTGTGTTTGTGCGCACATACACAACGTGGGAATAATGAGACAGGCCTGCTTTATGACTTACTGAAATAGTACATTTCAAGGACTTGGATAACTTGGGGAAAAGAACTGTACAGTGGTACCTCTGGGTACGAACGGGATCCGTTCCAGAGCTCCGTTTGCATCCTGAGGTAAACATAAGACGTGTATGTGCAGGTCGTGTTTCGCTGCTTGTGCGCATGCGCGTGACGTCATTTTGAGCGTCTGCGCATGCGCGAACGGTGAACCCTGGAAGTAACACGCTCCGTTACTTCCGGGTTGCCGCGGAGCGCAACCCGAAAATACTTAACTTGAAGCTACTTCAACTTGAGGTATGACTATATAACCACCAGGTGTATATAAACTCTGTTATCCCTTCTTGCCACAATGGTTGTTCTTTCATGTTTCCCCAGGAAGAATTCACTGGACACCCCCTTATGAGCCACCATAAATGAGAAGGCCAGCATGGATGAGAAGCCTGGAGGGAGTGAGCTGTCTCCAGGGCTGCCCCCCGGCTCTCTGCGACGGGTTCCCCGCAAGAGGGGGGCAGAAGTGAGTGGGAAGACGGGGCATGCCGGCCAGGCCCCAGCAAAGAAGAAGAAGAAGGCGGCTCGCAAAGCCCCACGGAGAGTTGCCCCTCATTACCTTGTGCACGAGACGGACAATGACATGCTGCTGATAGTTTCCAACGTGGAGGAGGCCCGACAGCGGCCGCTCCGGAAAGTGCCCAAGAAGAAAGGGAAGCAGAAGCAGCAGCAGCAGCAGAAGAAGAAGGGGTTGAAGAAGCAGGCAACGCACGGGAGGAAACGCGTAAAAGGAGAGACTTTGGCAAACCGGCATGTGGCTGCTGAGGATCAAGGAGAAGAAAGCAAGGCACTCCCCCTCAGCACCCAGCCAGCAACTGGAAGTTCCTGGGGCGAATGCCTCCCAGTGGAGATCCTGGTCCAGATATTCCACCATGTTGTGGCATCGGAAGGCTCAGTGCCGTTCCTCTGTAGGTAAATGGAGCGCTGGGGCCACAGCCAAGGGGCAGGAAAGCATCTTGCCTGAGGAGAAGCAAGAGATCCCACAGAGCAGCCTTTGTCAACCTGGTGCTGGCTTCGTGGTTTGGACTGTGCTGTGTGGGCTGGGACTGATGGGAGTTGTAGTCCGAAACATCTGGAGGGCACCAGCTTGGCAAAGGCAGCCATAGAGCATGCATTATTTTGCCAGATACTCACAGTGAGACGTGACAGTCATTGCTGGTTTTCTCTCTAGGGTGGCCCGCGTGTGCCGGCTCTGGTACGGAGCAGCTTCCAACCCTGTGCTTTGGCAGAAGGTGACTGTTGGCCACTGC